AGAGAAATGCACATTTTCAAGTCAAGAGATTGAAACATTCAAGATTCAAAGAATACTTTTGCCTGCAAAATTCACACTTACATTCAAACTAATTATCTACATAGATATATCCTTTTCATAAAATGATAGGCCTTATGATGCAGAGAAGCACCAAAATTCACATTTACATTCAAACTTATTATCTACAGAAACTCTAAGGTATATCCATAATCCATTTCATAAAATATGAGACCTTAGGATGTAGAGAAATACCAAAAGGGAGAAAAACACCATTTTATAGTCAAGAGAGATATATATATCCAAGATTCAACGAAACTACTACTATTTGCTTGCAAAAGTCACACTTACATTCTAATTAATATTCTACATAGACTCTAAGATATATCAATTTCATAAAATGAGATGCCTTATGATGCAGAGATGCATCAAAAGAGAAAAAATACACATTTTCTAGTCAAGAGAGATAGATACATTCAAGATTCAACAAAACTACTACTCACTTGCAAAAGTTACATTTACATTCAAACTAACTATCCACAGAGACTCTTAAGATATATCCATTTCATAAAATGAGAGACCTTATGATGCATAGAAGTACCAAAACAGGGAAAATAAACATTTTGTAATCACTGACATTGTAAACACACAATGTAATGTACCAATACGGAAAGTAAAACCGACCATTTTATCAATGGTTATATTAGCAATATGTTTCTACAATCTGATGGATACTAGAACAAGGATAGTAATCTAAAAATCATACGATTAGATAAGACCAATGATCAACAAACCAAAATGCAAGACCAATGATAAAAAAACCATACCTAAAACATTATTTATCAACATAAATAATATGGAAATTCAAAGCAGATATGCCACATGCCAAAGATGGCGATGATAAAATTAGAATTCAAATTCGCTGTAGTTTCATGATTTTGACATTAAACTTAGAAAAATGTTCTTAAAGCAACGAAAAAAAACATGGTAGGTAATTAAAGAAAGATCCACTGCACATTCTAACATATATACATCCACTGCACATTCTAACATATATACACAAGTTATTCAATAGATCTTTCAAGCTCTATCAACTCTGTTAAGACTAAGAGACCAAGTGACATACAATAGTACCGTAAACAGAAATATTTTCAATCAACAGATTGTAAAATCTCAAGTCCATAGTTACAATTTATAGTATCTAGTAAAATAATCATCAGAAGCATGATGAAGATTCCATAATTGCTCAGATAATACTATTTAAATGCGGGATAGTGAGGATGTTATTCCACATGTTTAAAATGATCGTCAAAGGTTTTAGGACGTGACAGAAAACAATACATTCAAGATCAAGCAAACTACTACGAAAATCTGAAGGAGTCTCTCGCTCGCACTAAAAAACAAATGCCTACAAGAAACTCCATCATATTATCCATTTCATAAAATAAGAAACCTTATGACACACGCAAGCAAACGAAACAGAGATAATGTATGTTCTAATCAAGACTCAAGAGACAGAAATACATTTAAGTTTCAAAGAAACTACTACCATAGTCTGTAGCTCACTTACATTCAAAATAATTATCTACAAAGACTCCAAGATATATCAATTCCATAAAATGGGAGACCTTATAAAGTATATAAGCACCAAAACAGAGAAATACATATTTTCCTGTCAAGAGAGGTAGATACATTCAACATTTAAAGAAACTAATATTGTAGCCTGCAAGAGTCTCACTTACATTTAAAATAAATATCTACAAAGACTCCAAGATACGCCCTTCCAATATCATATACTGAAAGACCTTATGATGCATACACACACCAAAACAGAGAAATATCCATTTTCTAATTAAGAGAGATAAATACAATCAAGATTCTTCTGCAAAAATCTCGCTTACACTCAAAATGAAATGAGAGACCTTACACTCAAAATCTCGCTTACACTCAAGATTATCCATTTCATAAAATGAGAGACCTTATATGCAGAGAACCACCAAAACAGAGAACTACACATTTTCTAGTCAAGAGAGGAAGATACATTCAAACTAATACTATCGCCTGCAAAAGTCACACTTACATTCAAACTAATTATCTACAAAGATTATATATATCCATTTAATAAAATCAGAGACCTTATGATGTATAGAAGCCAAAACAGAGAAAAATAACATTTTGTAATCACTGACCTTAAGATCACTGAAAATGTGGTTTTTTACTGCTGGATTTTTTACTTTGACCTTAACCTTAGGAATATGTTCTTAAAGGAACAAAATAAAACATGGTAAGGAATTAAAGAAAGATCCATGCACATTCTAAAATAAACACACAAGTTATTTAATGGATCTTTCAAGCTCCATCAACTCTGTTAAGACTAAGATACCAAGTGAAGAGACCAAGTGACATACAATAGCACCGTAACAGAAGTATTTTCAATCAATAGATTGTAAAAACTCAAGTCAATGGTTAATCTAGTAAAATAATCATCAGAAGCATCCAAACTTGCTCAGACAATACTATTTAAATGCGGGATAGTGATGATGTCATTCCACATGTTTAAAATGATCGTCAAAGGTTTTAGGTCGTGACAGAAAACAAATACATTCAAGATCAAGCAAACTACTACGAGAATCTGAAGGAGTCTCTCGCTCGCACTAAAAACAAATGCCTACAAGAAATCCCATGATATTATCCATTTCATAGAATAAGAAACCTTATGATACACGCAAACAACCAAAACAGAGATAATGTATGTTCTAATCAAGACTCAAGAGACAGAAATACATTTAAGTTTCAAAGAAACTACTACCATAGTTTGTAGCTCGCTTACATTCAAAGTAATTATCTACAAAGACTCCAAGAGAGACCTTATAAAATATACAAGCACCAAAACAGAGAAATACACATTTTCTTGTCAAGAGAGGTAGATACATTCAACATTTAAAGAAACTACTACTATAACCTGCAAGAGTCTCACTTACATTTAAAATAATTATCTATAAAGACTCCAAGTTATGCACCAAAACAGAGAAAATTAACATTCTGTAATCACTGACCTTATGATCACTGACATTGTGAACACACAATGTAATGTTCCAATACGGAAAGCAAGATTTACCCTTTTATCAAAGGTTCTATTTGCAATAAGTTTCTACAATCTGATGGATACTAGAACAAGGATAGTAATCTAAAAATCATACGATCAGACAAAACCAATGATCAACAAACCAAAATGCAAGACCAATGATCAACAAACCATAGCCAAAAAACATTATTTATAGACATAAATAATATAAATAACATGGAGATTCAAAGCACATAGGCGACATGCCTAAGATGGCGATGATAAAATTATAATTCAAATTCGCTGCTAGTTTCATGATTTTGACATTAAACTTAGGAAAATGTTCTTAAAGCAACAAAAAAAAAAACATGATAGGCAAAGAAAGATCCACTGCACATTCCAACATATATACACAAGCTATTCAATAGATCTTTCAAGCTTCATCACCTCAGTTAAGACTAAGAGACCAAGTGACATACACTAGTACCATACAAAAGAAATTTTTTCAATCAACAGATTGTAAAAACTCAAGTCAATAGTTATAATTTATAGGATATATGTAAAATAATCATCAGAAGCATGATGAAGATAATATGAATGTTCTTATCAATACTTAAGAGACAGATATACATGTAAGTTTTGATGAAATTACTACCATAGTCTGCAGCTAGCTTACATCCAAAATAATTATCTACAAAGACTTCAAGATATATCAGTTCCACCATAAAATGAGAGACCTTATAAAGCATACAAGTACAAAAACATACCCATTTTCTAATCAAGAGAGAGAAATACAATCAAGATTCTCCTGCAAAAATATTGCTTACACTCAAAATATTTATCTACAGAGAGTAATATATATCCATTTATAACATGCGAGACCTTATGATGCAGAGAAACACCAAAACAGAGAAATGCACATTTCTAGTCAATAGAGATAGATACATTCAAGATTCAAAGAATACTACCGCCTGCAAAAGTCACACTTACATCCAAACAAATTATGTACAGAGATATATCCATTTCATAAAACTAGAGGCCTTATGATGCAGAGAAGCACCAAAAGAGAGAAATACACATGATTAAATTAGAGACTGAAACATTCACAAAGTTATGATGCAGAGAAGCACCAAGAGAGATTGAAACATTCACAATTCAAAGAAACAACTATAACCTGCAAAAGTCTAGCTTACATTCGAAATAAAGACCTACATACTTACATATATATATCCATTTCGGTATGAGAGGCCTTATTCTGAAGAGAACACCAAAACAGAGAAATGCACATTTCCTGGTCAAGAGAGATAGATACATTCAAGATTCAACGAAACTACTACTAATGCTTGCAAAAAGTCACACCTACATTCAAACTTATTATCTACAGAAACTCTAAAGGTATATCCATTTCATAAAATAGGAGACCTTAAGATGCAGAGAAACACCAAAAGAGAGATACACATTTCCTGGTCAAGAGAGATAAATACATTCAAGATTTAAAGATCTACAAAGACTCTTATATATCCATTTCATAAAATCAGAGACCTTATGATGTATAGAAGCCAAAACAGAGAAAATTAACATTTTGTAATCATTGACCTTAAGATCACTGATAATGTAAAGTACCAGTAACGTAAGCAAAATCTACCATTTATCAATGTTATATGAGCAATACGTTTCTACAATCTGATGAATACTAGCACAAGGATGGTAATATTTAAAGACAGCTACTTAAGAAACGTTAAATTCCAATTATAAATGGCGCTTAGATCTGCAATTCTAACTTAATGTGTGGCCATTTAACGTATTAAATGTTGTTTAACTTAAATTTTGATCTTCAAATATGTACTAAAATTGATTTATTAGAGAAAAGTCTAAAAAAGGATATACATGGTCATGTTGTTGAAAAACATTGCAAGTGTAGGCTTCATGAGAACTCCACTCAATTGACGTGATAGGATCTGATGCCTATGGTATGCAAAATGTGCATCTCCAACTGAAATTACATCGGAATATTACAAAGAATTGTTGAGGAAAATATAAAGCTATGGTCTCTAGCATACCTTGATCAGTCTAAGATCATCGACATGGCATATCCTGTCATCACTCCTTGAGGCCAACGTGCAACTAGCAAGCCTTCATGAAAGGGTAGAAAAAAAGAAAGAATTAGCCATTTGCGGGTAACACAGAACCGACTAAGCTAGACATCAAAGTGGTAGAAGAACCTGTTCCATGAGATGACATTCACATTTTCGTAATGTGCCTTGAAAGATACTACATAAGACTTTCCACATCACATATCCCACTGCAGCTTTACCATTTTCTTCGGTTAGACTCCACTGGAACAAAGAAAAAGATAATCTTTAGCCAAATGGAAATGGCACCAACAGACGCAAGATTTACCTACAAAGTGTTACTTTTACTTGCAGTGTTTCCGGTGAAATTCCATCTTCACAGAAAGTAAATCTCCTTATCGTCCATAAAAATATAAATCTCCTAACGAAGCACATACCTGAAAAAGTAATATAAAAGAGTCTTTATTCAAGCTGTTACAGAAATATGCTAAAATTTAGAAATCTTCCAAGAATTTTGGAAGCTTACCTGAACACCTGTCGAGTGGAAATCAAAATTAGTATGTTTCTCTTACTTGTGATTTTCATAATCAACTACATACAAACAAGTTTGAGACGCACATACCTTTAATAGAAATCTGCTCCACTTGACATCTCCTCAGAGTCTCTAACAACTTTAACACCTTCTGAAGCACATACCTACAGAAATCAGAATTAATTAGTCTCTGTTTCACCATAGATTCTATGGGAGTAGTGTAAAGAATCGGTTGTGTAGTCTTTCAAGCTGTTGGTTCATATTCCATGGGTGAACCTGTTTCATAACATTTGTCTAATGACATTTGTTTGTTGTTGGTCGTATTTTCCATTTACAGCCTTGTGATTGAGTAAACCATAGTATTTGTCGTAAGACTGTGAAATCGTTAGTTGTTTTTTCACCATCCAACAAATCTTAAGCAATCCATTGTCTTTGACAAAAGACTTTACTAAGCCTAGAACCATCCAGCAAGTCTAGAACCATCCAACAAGCCTTTCTTAAGACTTTCTCAAGGTGTTGGTCATTATTTTCTTAAGACATCCAACCAATCCATAGTCTTTCTTTCTGTTGTCTTAAGACTCTCAAGATATTGGTTGTTATTTTCCATCCAACATGGGTAAACGAACATATAGTTATAGACTCATAGTCTTTCTTTCTGTTGTCTTAAGACTATCTCAAGGTGTTCATCGTTATTTTCCATCCAACAAGCCTTCTTTAAGACTCTTAAGCCTTGGGGTTAACGAACATATAGCTCTCGGCTCATAGTCTTTCTTTCTGTTGTCTTAAGACTATGGTCTTTCTTTCTGTTGTCTTACGAGTTTTTCAAGTTGTTGGTCGTTATCTTCCATTCCAACAAGCCTTCTTTAAGACACTAGTCTTTTTTCATCCGACTCATGTTTTTCCCTCCCACAAGTCGAAAAACAGACTTAGAGTCTTTGTCTAAGGAAAATTTTCAAAGCCATGAGACTTTGTGAAATCGTTAGTTGTTTTTCACCATCCAATAAGTCTAAACTGATCCATAGTCTTTGTTCATAGGCTTTGTGAAATCGTTAGTTGTTTTTCAGCATCCAACAAGTCTAGACCAATCAATAGTCTTTCTTCATAGAGTTTATGAAATCGTTAGTTGTTTTCACCATCCATGTGGTTTATTATGAATCTGTATTCGATTCATAATCTTTATCAAGAATCTTAACTTCTATGCCTTTGGTCTTTTTTCCATGCAATAAGTCAGAAACTAACCCATTGTCTTAAGAAATTTCAGTTGTTGGTCGTTTCTTTCCACCCAACACGTCTTTGTCCAATGACTTTTACCCCTTGTGGTTAAGTAAGAGTCTTTCTTTATGACTTCTCGAAGCCGTTGAAGAATCTTTCTTTCTGTTGTCTTAAAGACTTTCCTAAGCTGTTGGTCGTTATTTTCCATCCAACAAGTTCTCGGTTCATAGTCTTTCTTTTTGTTGTCTTAAAGACTTTCTCAAGCTGTTGGTCGTTATTTTCCATCCAACAAATTCTCGGTTTATAGTCTTTCTCTAGGGTTACTCTTAAGCCTTGGGGTAAACGAACATATAATTCTCTGTTCATAGTCTCTCTTTTTGTTGTCTTATGAGTTTCTCAAGCTGTTGGTCGTTATTTTCCATCCAACAAGCCTTAGACTCTTAAGCCTAGGGGTTAACGAACATATAGTTCTCGGCTCATAGTCTTTCTTTCTATTGTCTTAAGACTTTCTCAATGTGTTGGGCGTTATTTTCCATCCAACAAGCCTTCTTAAGAATCTTAAGCCTTGGGGTTCCCAACATATAGTTCTTTAGTCTTTCTTTCTGTTGTCTTGAGACTTTCTCAAAGGTGTTGATCGTTATTTTCCATTCCAACAAGCATTCTTTAAGACATTAGTCTTTTTTTTTCATCCCACACGTTGAGAAACCGAGTCATAGTCTTTCTTTCTGTTGTCTTAAGACTTGCTCAAGGTGTTGGTCGTTATTTTCCATCCAACAAGCCTTCTTAAGACTCTTAAGCCTTAAGGTTACCCAACATATAGTTCTTTAGTCTTTCTTTCTGTTGTCTTAAGATTTTCTCAAGGTGTTGGTCATTATTTTCCAACAAGCCTTCTTAAGACTCTTAAGCCTGAAGTTACCCAACATATAGTTCTTTAGTCTTTCATTCTGTTGTCTTAAGACTTTCTCCAGGTGCTGATCGTTATTTTCCATCCAACAAGACTTTTTAAGACTCTAAAGCCCTCATAGTCTTTCTTTCTATTGTCTTAAGAATTTCTCAAGTTGTTGGTCATTATTTTCCATTCCAACGAGCCTTCTTTAAGACATTAGTCTCTTTTTTGTTCATCCAACATGTCTTTCATAGTCTTTGACAGAGAGACTATGGATCTGTTTTCAATTTATAATCTTTTAATCCCTCGTTACATTCTCTGTTCCATCCAAATAATCGAAAACAGATCCATAGTCTCTCTGTCAATAGAGACTTTTTCAGTCGTGTGACATATTTGCCTTCCTTAGACATGCACTACCAACCCAAATCTCAACGGGACAGTGTTCCCAAATAATTCCCACCTCAGTCTTTGTCATAAGACTCTTCAAATCGTTGGTTGTTTTACTTTCCATCAGACATTAGTCTTTTTTTTTCCCATCCAACACGCTGGAAACCAAACTTAAGAGTCTGTCTAAAGACCCTTAAGCCTTGGGTTACCGAACATATAGTTCTCAGCTCATAGTCTTTCTTTCTGTTGTCTTAAGACTTTCTCAAGCTGATGATCGTTATTTTCCATCCAACAAGCCTTCTTTAAGACCCTTAAGCCTTGGAGTTATCGAACTTATAGTTCTCATTCATAGTCTTTCTTTCTGTTGTCTTAAGACTTTCTCAAACTGTTGGTCGTTATTTTTCATCCAACAGTCCATTATGTTTCTCTAAAGAGTTTTGTAAGCCGTGAGTCTGCTTTCGATTCATAGTCTTTGCCTTAAGACTTTTTTTAATCCCTCGTTACACCCTCTGTTCTATCCAAATAATCGAAAAACAGATCCACAGTCTTTGTCAATAAGACTTTCTAAGCCATGGGTCATATTTTCCTTCCTTAGACATGCACTACCAACCAACGAGACAATGTTCCTTTCTTAGACATGCACTACCAACCAACGGGACAATGTTCCTTCCTTAGACATGCACTACCAAACCAACGGGACAATGTTCCTTCCTTAGACATGCACTACCAACCAACAGCCAATGGGACAATGTTATTTCCTTAAACATGCACTACCAACCAACGGCCAACAGGACAATGTTCCCTAATAAGAATCAAACAGAACACTATGAGATTAGTGCCTGTCTATGATGATCTTTTTGGGGATGGTTTTAAAGAAAAACAAAAGCAAAGCAAACCAAAAGGCTTTGAGATCTGAGGGATTACCTGAGGAATCACGAATGCTGAGGCTCAACACTCCTGTAGCCAAACCTGTATCAAGAACAAAACATGAAGGTGATGAAATATCATTTGGGATTCCTGAAAATTTAAGATTTATGAAGATACAGATCTTTTCACAAACGTCAGAGACTTTGCAACAAGAATGAAGAGAAAGAGAACACATACAGCTGGAGTAAGACCAAAAGACAAGTAGGGCTATGGATCTTGTTGTTTCAGTCTCATCTATCATGTGCTCGATTCCTTTACTACATTAATCCCTGAGACAGGAAGCAAATGAGCATGTTCATGCTATTCAGGTAAATACGTTAAATTGCTCAGAGCACAAACAACTTGTGCACTCAGTCGCTGACACATTGGTTCAATGAAGACAGAGCTGATCCTAAGAACAGCTATGGAAACAGGAAAAGCAGAAACGTGGCGAGAGATTCTTACAGATTTCAGTAGCAAAAGAAACATTGTGTTTTGTTGGATCCATGGCAAACGTTCTCTTCCCATTCAATCTGTATCAAAAAGAAACAAGGGGAATCAAGATAACTGCAAGGAACAAGACATCAACCAAAGATATAAAAGAAAAAGGTACTCTTTGAAAGTTATATAGAACAATAACGAAATCTGGAAACTCAATCATTAACAGAGAACTTAAAGTTTCAATATCGCCAACGAAATTGATAAACCAAGCAAAAAACAAAGGATGAAAAATTTCAAAATCAACAGCGAAATTAAAAACCCTAAACGGAGAAATACGACTTTCAAAATCACTGAAAAAAAACAATCTTTGAACGATTAGGAGAATCGAAAACGCTAAAACGAAAGTCTAGCCTTCACGGCGAGCGAGAAACCCAAACCAATTTCAGGCGGAATGAAAATTTGGAAACCCTAAACAAAATTGCGCGATCGATGGTTCCTCTAACAAATTCGCGAATTAATGATAACGAATCACTTACCAATATGAGATTGAAGATGGATTTAGCCATTTTTGCAAATCTTCGCAGAGAGAAAGTTGGGTTTCGGGGAAAATAGAAAAAGTTTTGGTGAAAAAACTGTGAAAATAAATTAGAGAGAGAAATGTAATGTTTTCATGTATATCGTTGTGTTTTGACAACACACGTTTCTTATAACGGGTATATTTTGAGATTGAGGCCGTGATTGTTTGTAATCTAACCGGTTCTGCAGCCTCAAAACAACTTAAACCGAACCGGATTGCATTTTCCATTATCTCTTGTAAAAAATAAAAAGTTGGAGACTTATGCGACACCGTTTCGTTCTACACTTAGCTCTCTTATCTTCTTTCTAGATCAATGGAAAACATGAGCCAAAGGCCAAAGCCCATTGGTTCATTTTTTTCCTATGAATTTATATAAACTGTGTTGTACTTTAAATATATCTTCATACAGCAAGTTTGTCAATTTTCCTTAAAAGGAAAAAAGAAAATTTATCTGACTTTATTTTACATATTTTGGAATCAAGCAAAAAAGTGAAAATGATGATAATTTTATATTACATCTTCATTTTTTTTTGTTCGAATATTACATCTTCATAAAAAGTGACTTTCAAGGTCTGATTTATTTAATCCACTATCTATGTAGAGGTTTTTTCTCCTTTGACATGTTAATTGATTCAGCTTTTGGCCCAATGATTGGTATAATTGTATAAAAGAACTATACATATATTATTATTTTAAACTATCACAAAATTGTAAAATATTGTACGAGCTATTAAACACATGCAAAAGAGAATTAGTTGATGAATTGATTCCCATTCTACTAAGCATTACCTAACAAGTAAGAACTAAGTTAGGTAAGACTAAAACATTGGCATGCCTCTTTTTGTTTGCTTCAAATTGTAAAAAGAGTGGAAGAGTAATACCAAGATTAGGTAGTTGATTTGAAATTCTTAATAGAAAAATTGATCCATTTTCTTAACAAGTAGTTATATAGTATAAGACTATACGGATATCTATACATTAAAATATCCCTCAATAATGAACCAATGGCACAGCAACACTACAAAGACGAGATATATCGTAATTTATAAACTTTCGTAGTTATCTAATTATTCCCACTAGTAACTAGTACAGCATACAAGAACTCGATACATTTTGGATTAAGTGACATGTATATACTACTACGTATCAAATATGTTTATCAATTAAAGAGCAAGCAGGGAAATTTTGTATTTTTGATATGTTATATATATTCACGAATTTGGTAATTAGTTACTAGTTAGGTACTTAGCTTATGTACATGATCCGTAGATGTAAAATATTCTTCCAGAATTGTTCCACTTTCTTTTGATCTAGCCTAAAAGTAGAAAGATTTATTTTTTTCTTCCTGTTCCCACTAAAAGAATAGTCTATAGTCTATACGTTTAATTTTACTAAACTCTAAATTAGCAGTCGTGTATTATATGTGAAAACTGATAAGAGTAAATGCAAAATATAGTTGACAAAAAAATTTGCAAAATGTAGGATCAAATCATTTGATTTGACCGCGATGGCTAAACATGTTAGATAGTTGGGCAGTCGCTACAACTAAGCAGCTTACACCTATTTAATTATCAATTATTTCGATTATAGATTTCTATTTGTTTATAAAATCACTTGTAGTGAAATTATTGTCCAAAAAAATTTCCAAGAAAGGTTGTTTGACTTTGATTAAACAATAGGTTAGTTAGTCACTCTACAATGGCTTCTAAATTCTAAATATTCGGCCTTCAAAACTAGGTTAGGTGGCCTAGAAAAAACTTCAAGAAAGAAACCATTCGGGTTGATTGTTTATCTGGTGGTATTATATTGGAACAAAGTAAATTATTATATTTTGAAAGTTATTTTTTAATCTAATTAGATTTACTCGATTTTTCCAATTTATAATTTAAAATTTTGATTTGTCCTGCATAATTATATTAGATTTACTAGTTTGTTAGATATATCGATGAGATTCTCTTTCTTGTAGTGTTAGCTAACTTTTAATTTTCTTCTTCTACCTATTAAATACTGTTTCTATTTTCAGATATAATTTACAAATAAGTAGATTTTTATTTTGGTCAGCAAAAATAAGTAGATTGTAAAAGTTGAAACTTATGAATTTTTTTTGTTAAAAGTTATTCGTGCATTTATGAAATTAAAACCTAACAGTTTCATGTTTTAAATTCTACAAAAAAAAAAACCATTTCCAATTGCCCCAATCCTTCCATATTAGATATCATCTTCTTAATAATGAATGATATATTAGCTATAATGGAGTTTTGTAAAACGAAATGCTATATAAGGAGATAAATATCATTTTTTTGTCACCCGTAGATAAATATTAAAATCGTAAAAAAGAGATAGATAATAACAAATGTTGAAAAAAGAGATGAATATTAAAATTATTTCAATTTGTTTAACTAAATTACCAAATCATAATATATAAAAACACATAACCAACGCGAAAGAGAAAGAAAGTAGCGACCAGGTCGTCGTCGTGCTCTCGTTTTACAATTCACGTTTCCTCTCTGAGTTTCTTCGTCTTCTTCCTCCTCTTCTCTCTCTCTCTCTCTTACGTTTTTCATCGTCACGGGTTTCTCTCACACTGCGTTAATAACATCGCGCGTTTCGCATTCCAACCATCTTTTAACGCCTTCCTCTGTTTCTCTCCTCTTCTCACAATTCTCAGGTGCACAAATCTCTCTCTTCCTCTCTCTATGTATTCTTCAAACAAAATTAGATGTTTGTAATCTGTTTGTTAATCATTCTGATTAAGATTTTCATCATGACCAATATTCTCTTATGCCCTTGACTCTTGAGAAACTTTAACAAAAATAATGTTCTCCATAGATTTTTCACTCTGTTTTACTAATTAGGACCGTTTTTCTGATTTTCCTTGGTGTTAATAAATTGAATCAAAATTGGAATCGCAATCGGATCACAAGAGTCTATCGAATCTGATCGGAAATTTAGTAAATTCTGATGACTATTCTTAAAGTTTTATTGACTCTTTTATATAAGTTTTTAGACTCTTTCTCCCACTTTTGTTTTACTCTGTTCTGTTCTTCTTCTTGTTCAACTTTTTGACTATCTTTTTTTATCATTAAAATATAACATTTGAATACTCAGATCAACAGTTTGCCCAAAAGGAAAGTATATAACCAGATCAAAATAAAAATTAGGGAAAATAACTCTATATATTTTCATTTTACATAAATGTTTCATAAATTTCAACTTTTTCTTGTTTGTTTCTTCTTTTATGCTTTAGGTCCCACTTCCAACGTATATGATTTTCTGTTTTTTTTTTCATGCATATAAGTGTTTGCAGAATTTGGTAGCTTTGACCTTCTGCTTATAATCAATATTTTTTTTTGGTTGTAAATTCTTACTTTCTTTTGCAGCAATCTCCAGCAACATGAACCTCATAGTTGGTACTTGGTAGCTACTGATTGTAAGGACTAAGGAGCTTTTCTTTTGGTTTGGTCTCAAGTCTCTGTTTTGAGAAACAGAGCAAATTGAAGTATTTCAAATGCAAAGTTTGTCTGGAGTTAGAAGTCAACGAAGAAACTCAAGACCTTTGCCTTTAGGAGGTAGATACATTATCACTCCAACAAATTTGCTTTTGATCATATAATATTTCTGAGAAAAAATAAACTTTAGATTCTGATTTTCTTTATTTTAAAAAATTGCAGATATGGATTACTTAGAACCCAAAACAAAGAACAATCTCATGGGAAAGCTTCTCTTAGTAACTTCACTTTTTATCTTAGCCATTATTGTGATTAGTAAAGCTTCATATTTCACATCCCCAAGCAAGGTACATCTCCGTTGTCTCATACTCAAAAACCCTTAAAACTCTTACATTTTCTTAATCTTTTCTCTATTTTGGGTGCAAATGTGAACATTTTCTTAATCTTTATTCTGCGGTTTTGTTTTGTTGCATTTGCTTTCAGTTTTCTCTAAGAGAGGAAGGAGTGACTCATGTGTTAGTCACTGGTGGAGCTGGCTACATCGGTTCACATGCCGCTTTAAGACTGCTTAGAGAATCATACCGTGTAACCATTGTGGTAATGTAACTAAAAAGTCTATTTCTTGGATAGTAAAGTTTCAAACTTTTCAAGAACTTGTTAATGAAATCTTGAATCTTTTGATTTTTTTTCTCAACAGGACAATCTTTCCCGAGGGAATCTTGGCGCGGTTAAGACTTTACAGCGACTATTCCCACAAACCGGAAGACTTCAATTTATCTATGCTGACTTAGGAGATCCCATAGCTGTAATCCCTTCTATAACCTTTGATATTTGTTAATCTTATAAAGCATAAAAATCGGTTTTTTGTTTTTTCTTAACCTATATATTTTTCAGGTGGAGAAAATCTTCAAAGAGAATGCTTTTGACGCTGTGATGCATTTTGCTGCAGTAGCATATGTTGGAGAAAGCACTCTTTACCCTCTAAAGTAGAGAGTCCACCTTTTCTAGTTCTTATCTAAAACACTTAATCTAGTTCTAAAACAGATTCAATGTTTTGTTTTGTTTGCAGATATTACCATAACATAACATCAAACACATTAGGAGTTCTTGAAGCTATGGCTAGACATAAAGTGAAGAAACTGATATATTCTAGCACTTGTGCTACATATGGAGAGCCTGATAAAATGCCGATTACTGAAGATACTCCACAGGTAAATAATCTTAATTTACACGATACAATTTTTTTTTTTTTTTTTTGCACTTTTTCTAATCGAAAATATCGAATTTTAGGTCCCGATTAATCCTTATGGAAAAGCTAAAAAGATGGCAGAGGATATGATCTTGGATTTTTCCAAGAACTCTGACATGGCGGTTATGATCTTAAGGTTAGTTTCATGAAGTTACATTCTTTACTCCATGATCAAATGAAACAACTATGCAAATGTTGATGAATCTTGTATATGAATTTGCAGATACTTCAATGTGATTGGTTCAGATCCAGGAGGTAGATTAGGAGAAGCTCCAAGACCAGAGCTTCGAGAGCAAGGAAGGATTTCTGGTGCTTGTTTTGATGCAGCTCGTGGTTTCATTCCCGGACTGCAAGTGAAAGGAACAGACTACAAAACATCGGACGGGACATGCATCAGAGACTATATTGATGTTACTGACCTTGTTGATGCTCACGTGAAAGCTCTAGAGAAAGCTCAGCCTAAAAAAGTCGGCATCTACAACGTTGGAACCGGAAAAGGTACTTTAATATTTTTATTGCACAAAGGAACTCTGTTTTTTCTTCTTACAATGATCAAGAAAAAGATTCATCTTGTGGTATTTTAGTTTTTTTGACATTATATACACTGTTTGTGATTTTGGTTAAACAGGAAGATCGGTGAAGGAATTTGTGGAGGCGTGTAAGAAGGCGACCGGAGTTGAGATCAAAGTAGATTTCTTGCCTCGACGGCCAGGAGATTACGCAGAGGTTTATAGTGATCCGACAAAGATTTTGAAAGATTTGAACTGGACTGCTAGATTCACTAATCTTCAGGATAGTCTTCAAGTTGCTTGGAAGTGGCAAAAGATTCATCCTCATGGATATGATTCCTATTAAAAACAGAGGAACACAACACCTCTTAAAAATCTTGTTCTGTTTCTAAACAAATTCGTTTTGTTTGCTGGATACATGTTTTGAGGGCTTATAACATATGTAGCCTTATATAGATGGAGAAGATATACTGTGTCTGCTTATCAAAGATTGATGGTACTTTGTTGGATCCAAAAACGATAAATCAGAATCAAAAGAATAGAGATGTAGATAGTAATGTGGATAAAGTACGGTACAATTATGTTAAACAAGAACGTAATCAGTTCTTGAGTTTCTCTTGTTGCATTATGTCTTGCAAGAACAATGTGATGTTGGAATGAGAAGAGCCTCCTTCTTCCACAGCCTTGTGAGCTAATTCTCCAAGTTCTTTGGCTCTTCTTCTTCTCTCCTTAGCATCATCACTATCACCCATCAATTCTTCCACTGCCATTCTTCACTCTTCTTTATAACCAACACTCCTATCTTCTCCTCTTCTCCCCATTTCATAGGCTCTCAACCCCGACTTTCACACCGGCTTTTAGTACCTGCACGACCAATTTCTCGTTGCAGAATTGGTCTGCAAAGAGCGGCCATGTAAGCAGCGGTAGACCAGAGGTTATCCCCTCTAGAGTTGAGTTCCATCCGCAGTGCGTTAAGAACCCTCCAACGGAAGGATGTGAAAGGATAATCATTTGCGGAGACCATCCTTTGATGAGAAGTCCTCTGTCTTTGATTCTTTCTTCGAAACCGCTCTCCGAGATCCACTCAGCTAACTCTTTATACTTCTCCCAACTTCTACGACCCAAATGAAAGGTCTTTGGGATTCCTCAAGGCCTAGCCCAGCTCCTTGAGCTGAGACAGGGAAGATTGCAAATGCTTCCAAGGCAAACATATAACACCGACCTCTTCTTTAGAATCAAGCCATTTAAGGCACTCACCTTGATCAATGTCTGATTTGTTTCCCCTCTCAGCTTTATCTGCTCCTACCTTGTTGCACAAGGAAACAGGTCCAATGGACCATACCTTACCAGCCCTAGCCTCCTTGAAGTCTTTGACATAAGCGGTTCGAGCTCCTGAAATGTGTTGATAATCACACCGTAGGATGTGCTGTCTGCCTCTGTTAAACCGTCAAGAAAATCTTTCCATTCTCCATCAGCATGAGTGTCGACAGGAATTTGAAGCTTTGTGAACTTCAACTGTGTCAGGAAAAGAAGGGACGAGGAAGTACTCTTTGTCTGACTTTAAATTCGTCCAAGATCTCACGGTTCTTGCGTAGAACATGCATACACAGAAGACAAAAGCAAGACATGCCATGGAAAAGGATCTTCGGTATGTTGAACTCTAGCGATTTTGGTTGTATAAGAAAAACTCATGTCAGAAATCAGACAGCTTGGTCGAGGTGTCATCTCTTCCATTAGCTTCTGGACCGGTTCTTCGAGCTTGTTAACCGCTTTGAGGAAAGCCGCCATCGACCCCATCGATCAAGCAGATCTAGATTCTCTTGTCCTTCTGGCAAACCAGCTTCTTGATGTGGAAACTTGACATGCTACGTTGATGGGCAAGCCAGACTCGACCACGGTTTAGACATCTTGAACCTCGCTGCATTGTGAGGCGTTGTGATGATTGTTATGGTCACACCGCGCTGAGCCAAAAGCCTTGCAATATCAACCATGGGAATCATGTGGCCTTGAGCCATGAAGGGAAGAGAACAAAGTGAAGTGGAGAATGTGAGTCGTGGATTGCTTCTGAAGCCATGTCTCCTGCTCAAGTTTTTGCTTTGGTTTGGATTATGATGTGCAATATAATCATGAAACGGAACAAATATATATTTTTCTTTAAGAAAAAACTTGAGCAAAGTGACAAAGTAGAAATATATTTCTAACTTTTTGGCAAGTTATCTTTTTATTTTTTCCGATAATACACACTGGACATTCCTTGTATAATTTCATTATTATACAAAATACCACATATACAATGATAAATTATTCCTGATAACTAAAATAGTTTCTGTCTACTGTCATTGTGCTACTTATACATGTTTTACTTGATTGTTTCTGTATACGTGTAGTTGCTTCTTTGGTAACTTTACTCCTCTTTTGATGCTTATGATCATATTGGGAACTTGTATAGTAATAGCTATCTGTGTATTATCTTCTTCTTCTATTGTTCGCTGAGGATTATCTTCCTTCTTTATCTCTGTACATTATTTTGTAGATGATCTTATTGTGTAGAGCAATCTAGGCCGATCTAATTCCAAATACATAAAATACGCCGGCACGTACAAGTTCACAATGTATATCATATTCATCAAAAGAGGAATAACATCTACAGTATATTACAACACTCTGACCAGAATAGGAATATCTTCTGTTGATCTTGAATACTTTTCAAGAAAAACTTTATCTACAATATATTAAGAGATCATATGTAGCCTTATATAGAGAAGATACAGTATATTTGTGTCTGGTTATGTACTTATTGGTGATTTGTCATGGACAAAAAAGCTACTTAATGGTTCTGATCACCGTTTAAGCTTAATCTCTCTCAGTTTCCTTAAGGATCTATGGAACCAAACAACTTCATTGTTCACCCACATGCCACTTCACTAGTGACTAGTCTGCAAGGTAACACTTCTCACTTCGGTTTCTCCAGCGATCACAACCGTGCATCTGTAATGCCAAACCAGAGGAACGAATTATAAAACACCCTACGACTTGTGGGAATTTGAATCATTTGGAGAAAAACACTAACCGAGTTTTGATAACAAGTCCATGGTCCACAACCCCAACAATCGTATCAAGGCTTTTAGCCACGTCAGCTGCAGAGTCAACAAACCCATTTAACCAAACAAATAGAGAACATTGCATAAGTTTCAATAGCAGCAGTAAGAGTAAAAAGCCTTTTTTTTTACCGAGGCTTGGAATAGGAGTTGTGAAGATAAGATCAAGAATGTTGTGACCATCACTTGTGACTATAGGAAAGTCTCCTCCAAGAGGACCAGCATCTCCTACAGAAGCTCTTCTCCACACCTGATCAAACGAGGGTTAAAAAACACAATCCTTTAGAGAAAACAAATGCGAAAGAAACTGAGCTCACACCTCTGCGTCGCCTAGATAAAGGTCATCTATCTCCTCTGCTATAGCTAACCAGTTTAGCTGCACCCAAACCAGAGTTTCAAGCTTAACCATTCTGATTTTTTTCGAGTGAATCATAGAAAATTAGAATTTTTTTGCTTACGGATTGAACTAAGACAGGGATAGATCCTTCGAGTTTGGTCTTGTACTGTTCTTCCTTTATCATGAAGATTGCTTCATCAGCTGCTTTTACAATAGACTGCATTGTGAAATCTACTCTTTGTAAGCCTTAAGCAGCAATGAGCTTGTTAAGCCTTAAGCCAAATTTTACTCGCCTTTTGTCGCAGAATGTAGTCATCTTCTTCCTGTGGTGATCTTCTTCGTCGTCCGATGGCTGCGATAAGCGTACTCTCTTCTACAGCATCAGCATCATGAAATGCAAAATCAATCTACAAAACAAAAATATCATCCCAAGATGAAAAAAAAAAAGGAAGAAGAAGATCAAAACCGGTTTTTCGAAATGCAGGGCTACCTGAAAATCATCTCGGAAGTATTTCAAGGGGATTCCAGATTTTGCTGCTTCGCTCGCGCTTCGAGCAGACCTAAAGAAATAATTAGCACCAAGATTGCCACAATTGAACATATGAAAGATTGATACTTTGAAATCAGAATCAAAAGACACTCACATTGGTACACCAACAACATCTTGTAAAGAACCAGAACGAAGCTGCTGACCCAAATAACGTATAGCCAAATCTGAAGCTTCTCCAGATCCTAAACCGATAACCATTCCACTCTTTACATAAGTATCCACCTGAGTATTAAAGTATCAATCTTTATTCAGTTTTACGAAAAATGCAGCGTGTAATTCTGTACTCAAGCATCGATCTTTCTTCAATTTTACGAATTTGATGTACAATTCGAACTAGACCCAGAGGAGATAAACCCTAAATTTATAAGATCAAGTTTCCTGATTTAACCCTTACGGTGTGATGAGCTGCTCGGAGAAGAGGAGAGCACTCCGGAGAAAGACTGGCGCTTATTCGAGGTACTGAAAACTGTCTGAAGCTACGACGGCGCGTGAAAGGCACGGAAGAGAGTGAAAATGGAGTTGATTGTGCTGCAACTACCATTTTTTCTAAAACGATTTGTGTCATTGAGACACCGAGTCACGACTCGGTTGTTTTTTGCCGCTCTTATCCCGACTCAGTTTTCGCGTGGGTGTGGTGTGACATTTTATTGGTTTGTGTTGTGATTTTTTGTTTAACCATCCAAATTCCAATCGGTATATTGCATGTGGTTTACACAATGACACATGACATGACAAGAATGAAGAAAACCAAACCAAATTTAAATTGCATGAAACTAAATTTAGTCCACCGTAAAGAAACACTGAATAATTGGAAGAAAACAAAAAACAAAAAGGTAAGTCCTTTCCTTGGGTTTGATCGCACTTAAGCATGTGGGAACCAAATTCGTGGTAGCCACTCAATTTTGGCTCATAATTTCACCAGAATCCAAATAAAAAAAAAGTTTCATAGTCTCGTGTTAACATTCAGTTCTTCCTGTATCTCTTCTGATTCTCTGTGCTACATTTATAATAATATACACTTAAATACGCACTCTGCTTTCACCGACTTCCGACACGAAAAGGCAGGTCCTTTTTGTGTGTGTTTCCTGTCAATTCCACTACTTCACCATGAATGCTTTAATGAGTTATTCTTCTACTTCTTTTCCAGCTTTCTTTATTTTCCTTAATTATCTTTTTCTTGGTGGGGTTTGTGTGGTTTCATGACTCATCTGTTCTCTCTATAAAACCTACTGGAATGTGTAAATTCCAAAACCCTATCTCTCTTTTTTCCCCATTTTCTTACTTTAGAAGGGAGACAGCAAAAATGGGTAGAGTTATGCTGGTGAATTTTGGGGTTTTAGTACTTGTGATGATCTCTTTTGGGTTTTTGTCAAACACTTTGGGACAACAACAAGGCGGTGATGATGGTGATGATGATGACTCTGCTGTCTACATTGTCACACTTAAACAACCTCCCATTGTTCATCTTTTTGATGAAGAGGAGCTTAAACAGATTAGGCATAATAAACACAAAAAGTCCAAATTTACACCAAAATTTCCAGCAAGGTACTACAGAACTTTGATTCTTCTTTTTTTATTGTTACTAGATTCTCTGTTTAGTTTCAGTAAAATCCTTTTGCATTGCGTTTGAGTTTGGTATTTTTTTTATAGGAACATTTCAAGGAAACGTCATGGGAAGTCAAAAAGGCCACCATCTCTTTCTCAAACTCATGACTCTTTCTTGAGAAAGACATTAAAAGGAGAAAAGTACATAAAGCTTTATAGCTACAATTATCTCATCAACGGATTTGCTGTTTTTGTCAGCTCACAACAGGTAATAAACCTTGAGTTCTTGATCATTTTAGAAAAGTCATTTTGAGTTCTTGATCATTGTAGAAAAGTATTTTTGAGTTCTTGATCTTGAGTCTTCTTGTGTTGTTATTTGTTTTCTTTTAAGGCTGAGAAGCTTTCAATGAGAAGAGAAGTAGCAAACATAGTGTTGGATTTCTCTGTTAGGACGGCAACAACATATACTCCACAGTTTATGGGTTTACCAGAAGGAGCATGGGCCAAACAAGGTGGATTTGAGATAGCTGGAGAAGGAATCGTTATCGGATTCATCGATACCGGAATCGATCCGACTCATCCTAGTTTCAGTGACAATGACATAAACTCTCAGCAGTCATATCCAACACCTAAGCATTTCTCAGGTGCTTGTGAAGTTACACCGGATTTTCCATCAGGATCTTGCAACAAGAAGCTAATCGGAGCTCGGCATTTCGCGCAGTCCGCTATAACTAGAGGAGTCTTTAACTCATCAGAAGATTATGCTTCTCCTTTCGATGGAGATGGCCATGGAACGTAAGTGTAAACTCTTGAAATTTACCATACAAAACAGAGTTTGAAGCTTAAAGATTGTTACTTTTTACATATATACAGACACACAGCTTCGATTGCAGCTGGTAACCATGGAGTTCCGGTGATAGTTTCTAACTATAACTTTGGAAACGCTAGTGGAATCGCTCCTCGTGCATAGTAAGTATTAAGGAGATCAACAAAAACAAACAGAACTTGTATTAATGGTAAAATTCTTCACAAACTAACTGTACAGTTTTATGTTTTTTTATTCTTCTGTGTTCAGTATTTCTGTTTACAAGGCATTGTACAAGAGTTTTGGAGGCTTTGCTGCAGATGTTGTTGCAGCTATAGACCAGGTTTGCAAATCAAGAAACTAAAGGTTTTAGCTTTGCTTTCAAATTTGAAGACTTTTTTTATGATGGTTGTGAGTTTCTTCAGGCAGCTCAAGATGGAGTAGATATACTAAGTCTATCGATTACACCGAATCGAAAACCTCCTGGTGTTGCCACTTTCTTTAACCCTATAGATATGGCGATGCTATCCGCTGTGAAAGCCGGCATCTTCGTGGTCCAAGCTGCGGGAAACACCGGTCCATCGCCTAAAAGCATGTCTTCTTTTAGTCCTTGGATCTTCACAGTTGGTGCTTCTTCTCATGATAGAGTTTACTCTAATTCCCTAACCTTAGGCAACAATGTAACCATTCAAGGCGTAGGGTTTGCAAGTAAGTCTTCTCAAACAAGAAATGACAGATTTTTCGTATCGAAAACAAGGATTTGTAACTTTGTTTCTTTTATATAGTTGCTACGGATGATGGGAAGATGTACAAGATGATATCTGCTTTCCATGCCTTGAGCAATAGTACTTCTTCAGATAAAGATATGTATGTTGGTGAATGTCAAGATTATGAAAATTTCAGTGAAGATCTTGTCTCTGGGAGTCTTCTCATGTGTAGCTACTCTGTTCGTTTTGTTCTCGGGCTTTCTACTATAAAACAAGCTCTACATGTTGCCAAGAACCTATCCGCGGCTGGTGTTGTGTTCTACATGGACCCGTTTGTTCTTGGTTTTCAGATCAATCCAACGCCAATGGACATGCCTGGAATCATAATCCCTTCTGCAGAAGATTCCAAGGTAAGCAAAAGAATCAAAAAGCAATGATTTAAGTCTTCTTTTTGCTCGGTTTGTAATGATATGTTCTTCGCAGAGTTTACTTAAGTACTATAACTCTTCTTTACAAAGAGACTTAAGCACAAAAGAGATTGTTGGATTTGGAGCCGTTGCAGCCATTGAAGGCGGTTTAAAAGCTAACTTCAGTAACAGAGCTCCTAAGGTTATGTACTACTCAGCAAGAGGACCTGATCCAGAAGACAACTCTTTTAACAACGCAGACGTATTAAAACCGAACCTGTTAGCTCCTGGAAACTCTATCTGGGGTGCTTGGAGTTCTGCTTCCACTGATTCAACCGAGTTTCAAGGTAGTGAAAAACAGAGGATTCTTTACTATAAAGTTACCAACTTTCAGGTTAAGGTTTGTTCTGTTTTTTGCTCTGTTTTTAGGTGAGAAATTTGCGATGATGTCCGGTACAAGCATGGCTGCTCCTCATGTAGCTGGTGTCGCTGCACTGATCAAACAAACGTTTCCGCAGTTTAGTCCTTCGGCGATCGCGTCCGCGCTTTCGACAACCGCTCTTCTTGATGATATTAAAGGCGGTCCGATATTGGCTCAGCGTGCTTATGTGAATCCTGATCAAGACCTCTACACCGCAACGCCGTTTGATATGGGAAGCGGTTTCGTTAACGCAACCGCAGCTTTAAACCCTGGCTTAGTTTTTGATACCAGTAAGTATTGTATATCAAAATGTGGTTAAACACAACTAAAGTTTTCATTGTTTTACAATATGAAAATGTGTTCTTGCTTTCTTCTTGTGTAGGTTTTGAAGACTATATGTCATTTCTCTGTGGGATCAATGGCTCGGATCCGGTTGTATTTAACTACACCGGGGTTAGTTGTTCTGCGAAGAATGGAACAATCAGCGGTTACGACCTTAATTTGCCGTCGGTTACAGTATCTACGCTTAATGGATCACAAACTTTTAAAAGATCGGTGAGAAACATAGCCGGAAATGAGACGTACAATGTTGGTTGGAGTCCTCCTTATGGTGTATCAATGAAAGTATCTCCTGCTCAATTCTCTATCGGCATGGGAGAGACTCAAGTAGTTAGCGTAACACTCAAGGCGACAAAGAACAGTTCAAGTTCTAGTTTTGGAAGAATCGGATTGTTTGGAAGCGCAGGACACATTGTTAATATGCCTGTATCTGTTATAGAGAAGATCACTTCGAGCTGATAGATAGATAAGATCTTCTTTCTATTACCATTCAATTTGTGAAAGATTACATTTTCTTTTTATTTTGATGAAATGTAAAAGCATAGAAATGTTTTCAAGACACAAAGTAGTAAAGTTTCAGTGTTCATGCGTTTCCTCCATCTTTGTTGCCGTTGCTTGGGGAAGAAGGTAACTTTTGGGATTCCTCTTGTGCTCCAGTTGATGGGTTTGTTGGAATATTAGGGTTAACCATTGTGAAAGGTGGGTATTTTGGTAAAGGCCAGCCCTTTAATGGAAACATGTGGCTGAAGAATCCAGCAATCATGGATTTTGCATGGTCGATCTTGCCCATCGAAGAGGAACCATCGATCATGGTTTGAGCTGGTTCTGCTTCTGTTTGAAGTTTCAGGCCGCGGAGTGAGAGTGCAGGACGAGAACTTAGGAGGAAGATGACGAGGAGGAGAAAACAGAGAGAAGAAGCGTTTGAGATTTTCAACATTGTTGCTTGTTGTGTTTGCGAGCTCTTGTTTTGTGATTGTGTGTGTTTTACGTTTCTTTGGTGGTTTATTTATAAGTGATGGTTTTTGAGTTTGGAGAAGAGATGTGTGTAGATGAGAATAAGTGTTGGTGTTTTTAACGTTTGGTTTCTACTTCTTACCTAAACCAGCTTTGAGTTAAAGCTTCATGATTTTAGCATGATCATGAGAGATGATTTATAGGGCTTTCAGGATTAGTCTACAATAATCAAGCTTCCTGGTTTTGCTAGCAATATGTATCAAATTCTTTTGATAAAACTTTCGATAAAAGCACAATAAATATCGCCAATAATCAAGCTTTATGGTTTAATTTGTTAGCAATATGTATAAGTCGGATGATTATCACATTTGATTTCAGAAGACGAACAAAATAAAAATATAGCAAAAAACGAAAGTTAACTAACAGAGTAACGTAACATACAAGACAAATGAGTACACAATCTGATAATCACTCGAGGGTACACACTAAACACTCAAGAAATTGCATGAAAAAAACAAGAGAACGATACACGTGTGCAGGTAGAGTGTAGACACACAAGTGCGAGAGTGTGATGTTTTTATCAGGGGACGACGGAAGGAGTTGCGGCGGTGGAGCAGCATTTGTTAGGCTGGACGAGACGAGAGATTGTGACGGCGGAGATAATGAGCATAAGGACTACGCCGGCGAAGGCTGCGATTAATGCTCCGGCGCCGTGGTCACAGTAGGTGGCGAATCTGTCACATATTTTGTCCCATCTCGCGTGTTTGTTCCCGTTCTTCCCCACCTCCGCCATGAACGCCGCCGCGTTTGCTGCCGCCGAAATTAGAGTCACATTCAGCTTTTTGCATAATCAAGATGAAGTCAAAGTCAGCACAAATATGACACTTCTCTACTCAGTAATTAATTTGGTCTTACTACTCAGTAAATATGCCTAGTGATCTCAGTTCACCTATTACAGCTGGTGAACAAAAGTTTAGTAGCTTTAATTAGTTGAAAAACATGATGACTGCTAATTAAACTATTACTCGATTTTGCTGTAATTTGGTCTTACTAATCAGTAAATGTGTCTCCCCGAAACCGTAAACATAAATGCCCCACATAAACATTTTTTCACCAACTAATTTTTGAATTAGCAATTAATTATCAGATTTTGCAATTAGTCGATTAAATAATCAAACTACTATTTTTTGAAAGAAAATTTAAACAAAACGACAAAATATGTTTTGTAAAAAATCTGAAAATCCATGTTTTTTTTTCAACAAGAAGATACTAATCTCATTTAATATTTCAAGAAATTAACATACTAATACCATATATCGTCAAAAAGCTATAAATATGTGAAAGATTTAGAACTTAGAAAATTCAAAAAAATACATTAACACCTACTATTACTAGTTACTACTTATGCTACCTTCTCCAACTAGTTTCTCTAGTCGTTTACAACTAAGGACTTTAAGAGACATTAGTATATGTATATAACTATATATATATATGTAAATGTATGTTGTATGTATAGGTTTACCATGTCAAGAATGGCGACGGAGAGAAGACGAAAACCAGTTAAATCCTTTTTCCCTCCAAATATCTGAAGAGCAATCATCAACAAGTTGTGGAAGCTCACCATTACATTAGCCACTACAAAAAACCTTTTTTCCCCAAAGCAAAACCATCAAAGGATTAGTTTAAAATATATATTAACATTTTGAATCTTCAAGCTCTAATCTAAAGTAATTAAAGACTTACACAAAAGCAGGAGTGTGTTGGAACTTAGCAGTGAAAGTAGCTTTAATCGGAGTGTTTCCAACGTTGCCCACAACAAAAGTCTTCGTCTCTTTGTTCAGTCCCATTACAATGGCTGCAGATAACGTAGCCAAGAAGGCAAGTACTCTTAGTCCTAAGAGTATTTTGCAGCCCTTACCGCTTGTAGCAGCCAATGCGAGCTTCGCCATTTTTTTTAAGATGGAAATAGTGAAAATGTTTTTGTGTTGTAATGTGAAAGAGTGTTGAGTGTTTGTGTGTATATATATTGTGTTTGGTCTTTTTTTCTGACCATCTAACTTTGGAGGGTTAAATTTAGGTTTTGGTGGTTGTGAAGTTTCATTAGATTTGATTTATTTCTTTTTGTTCTCTTGCCTAGTTAACTTACTCTTTGGACAATCTCATCTACCCTGACTTGTTGACTTTTTTGAATTCGTATTTTTTTTCCTATCGAAAGAAAAACGTGATTATTTAATTAAGTTTGAGTTTATTTTTAGTTTATATTTTTCTCAAATGAAGTAAACAGTTTAACTGTAGTCTCTATAGATAAACTCACTAAAAACAGAAAATCAACAAATGACATTAAAATGGTCAAATTTTTTAGAATGAATTTTGAATTTTCTGTGATATTTGTATCTCATGTTATCGCAAACGCAAACAGAGTGGCAGAAATAGCAACTGAAATAAAGCCTAAACGGAAGCGAAGTTTGTGCATTGAGCTAATATGTAAATTATAGAGTTTATAATGAAAATCCAACTTTTCTAGGAAAAGACTGATCCAACCAAAAATTAAAACCGGTTTAACTGGTCAAGACATGAATAAACCGAATAACATTAGATTAAACGGTTTACACGTTTTATGTGGAAGTGCAATGTGAGCTAAACAGTCTAAACTCAAATCAGTTTCATGGGAGAGCAAAAGAGCAAATGTTTATATGTAAATCATATGCACAAACAAACTCAAACGAGCAGCCAAAACAAAAGAAAGAAAAATGAAATCTCCTCTCCTTGATTACTTTTTATCGGTTGTTACTCCAACCACGACATTGCTGACCTGCAAGTGTTTTTTTTTTTTTTTTTTTAATAATAACTCATCAGAAGATCTTCGAATCCATAATTGTAACACAAAGAAAAAGAAGATACGGAAATACACTCAATACTCACCAGTTTTCCACTTTCATCCACAGACATTGGATTCTCTACAACGATGGTTTGTGTCTGAGAAAAGTACAATGAACAGAGTAAGTACTGTTTTTAATATTGGTTTCTAAGAAGTTAGTAGCTGAGTGTAACTCACAGTTGATGTAGATGGCATTGCTGGTGAAGAAGCTGTTCCATTAGGCCGGTTCATCGAGTGAGGAAGCCTTCCATTGCACATCTAGAGAGACAAAGAGTTAAAACCGAAAGATCAAAAGCTTTTCAATAAATTGATCTTCAAAGTCAATGAGATCATCTCGAGAATCATGTAAAAGAATAACTCACATTAACAGTGGTAACGTATTGGCAAACAGCGCATTTAACAGATGGTGCTCCATATGGATACATGAGCGTTATCCTACAATGGCCACAGCTGATATGTGCGGCTTGACTCGCAGGTGCTTGGTGTGGGACTAAAGAGAAGAAAAGGTTTCAGCCAATGAGGATTACTAACAACCAAACATTTCCAAATGACTACAGTTTCAAAACCATCTTAAGAGAACAATGCTGATCAAAAATTTCAAGAACTAAAAGAACATTCAACAGTTTTTGAGTGGAAACTAGAAAGGATTAACTTTGAGAGATATTGACATAAGTTTTACCTGGAACAAGGTTTAAAGTTTGACAGCAAGAGCATCTAACGCTACTCGCACCACGTGTGAACATTAGCGTAGTTGCGCAACCACCACATACAATGTGAGCCATGTCCATTCCTGCACCAAAGTTATCAAAGAAGCTTACATAACTCTAGTCTTGAAATTTATTTTCCATGATGAGTTAGTGGTAAAACTAAAACCCTCCAATGTTTTTGGATCAATTCGAGGATCTTCTTTGTTCGATCGATAATATAAAGCCTCCCAAAACATCACAAAACCCACAAAAAGGTTTGTGGCTCAGAGTCATAAGATTGATACCTTGAGGAGGAGAATGGGAAACCAAAGTGATGGTGCTACACAAAGCACAACGTACATTGGTTGCTCCTCGAGGATACATTAACATAACTCTACATCCCTGACATACCAACTGGTTCTGCATTTCCTCTGCTTCACAAGAAAGAAAAAGAAAAAAAAAAACAGAATTGCTTAAATTTTCTTTCTTTGACAGCCGAAAAAACAAAACTTTGTAACCTAAAAACAAAGAAAAACCCTAGTTTTGTGTTTTTCCACACTCAATCCAGTTCTGTATATACGCATGTGCCGTTGTTCAATCAGTCTGCAACAGAGAAAATTAAAAAGGCAACCTTTTTGGATCGAATTCCAAATTCAGACAACCAAATCAAATCGAAGCCAAATTGGTAAAAAAGAATTAACAAAAGTCACAAATTCGCAGATAAATTGGGGGAAAAGAAGTTTCTTTTATTCATACGGATTGCAGATTGATGTGATTGTGAAACCCAAGAATCGTACGAACTTAACTTACAAAGTACACAAAAATTCGAGGAAATCGACAGAGGAAAATACAACAGATTTGGTTTTGCGCTCTATTGTTTGTCTCCCAGCTCCCGAATTATCTCTCACTTTGCTTTCTTTTGCTTTTTGATTTGGTTCGCTGCTACGTGATCTTTCTTGTAATTGTTTTTGTTTTTTGCAAGGAGGTGCATAATCTTCTTCTATTTTACTTAAGCGCTTCCTAAACCATTTGGGTGATAAATTTATCTTCAATTTCGGATTTTTTTTTGTAAGCTTGATATTGAAAAAGAAATGTTGGTGAGTCCATTGGTATATTTTTTTTATAGTAAAATGAGATTTTGGTATGTAAATCAACAGAAAAATGACTTTTCATTTATAAACATTTGAGTGGTTGAAATCAATGGATGTATAGGTTTTACTGTTTTAGTTAGTACTCCGGGCCCGGGCAGATGTTCAATTGTCACAATGGTTGTAATTGTAAATATAGTTCTATATTTTGTGTGATCAAAGATCACACAATAAAATGTGATCGACATTATACGTCGTATTTGTGGGATCGAAAATTTAATACATCCCACATACTGTATATGTTTTTATAAAGATGTTTTCTTTAGCAGTTTTGGATTCGTTTTCTGTACGCATAAAAATATTCAATGTTAATATGGTGGCCGAAGGACTTTCAGTTCCACACAATGTTTACTTACTTTTGATGGGGGATGCTCTTTGCTTTATTGTTGAATTGCCGCTTCTCCTTTCGTTGAGACCTGTATCGTTCAAAGTTTAATTATGTATTTAATAATGAGTGCTGAAAGTTGATATTGAACATTTTTTTACCTTCTCTTCTTCGTTCTCCTCTTTTAGTCCTTAGAATCTCCATTCTCTTTTTCCTTGCTTGCCTAGCTTTCTCTGTTACGTAACGTATTATTCGATAGTATAAATAATTTGCCGAACACGTTTTAATACATTGGCCATGATATAGCAACTGGACAATGACAATACTTTGCTACGTATATTAAGGGTTCTATCATTTTGACACTAAACTCGTACCTTGTTTATTAACAGACGAACTCAATCTCTCCGTTTCTCCATCCTCATTTTCTTTATTAATAATGAGTCGGCTGAAAGTTGATATTGAACATTTTTTAACTTCTCTTCTTCGTTCTCCTCTTTTAGTCCTTAGAATCTCCATTCTCTTTTTCCTTGCTTGCCTAGCTTTCTCTGTTACGTATTATTCGATAGTATAAATAATTTGCCGAACACGTTTTGATACATTGGCCATGAATATAGCAACTGAACAATGACAACACTTTGCTACGTATATTAAGGGTTCTATCATTTTGACACTAAACTCGTACCTTCTTTATTAACAGACAAACTCAATCTCTCCGTTTCTCCATCCTCATTTTCTGTAATCGCTGTGTTCTTCAGAAAGCCATCTGTCAGAAGAACGGTAAGATATTAGTATGGTTCGTCTCTAATACATAATTAGTTTCGAAAAAGTGTGCTTCTAATAAGTTTTCTTATATTATGTAGCTATGTAAGCAGTACACTAATGTAAGACGTGTTTATATTTGTAAGTTGTGTACCTTCTTTCTTCGCCTTGTTTTTAGTTTTTGCTGCTGTCATGATTGCTCCTCTTTTCGCTCGGTTGTTTCTTGAAGTTTCTTGGTCTACATCTCTCTCTTTGCTTTTGTACGTTTCCATACGTATTTCTCGGATATGTATTTGCTCGTGCACCGGTTTTCTTCTCGAGACGCGCGTATAGTTATGGTGAAGGGATTAAAAGGACCTATAAGACATAAAATGGAACCGTATAACGTGAGTATATAGTAAGTAGTATCATTTTCAGTGCAAACAACGTTAGTGTCTTACTGTTTGACGTACCTGTTGTTAGGACGATGACAAAAGTAGCTCCGGTAGTGCATAGTGGAAGGTTTGATGATGTAGCTGGTCGGGAATTGAAGGTTGTTACTGAGATTTACTTCGGTCAGAATTTGGGAGATAGGAAAGATGAAGATTATAATTGTGAATTCGTATGTATTTCGTGAATCTGCAGCACTAAGGAGTATTTCGAAAGTTGTAAGTGGTAATAAAGTGTTAGTTTGGTTTTGGTAGCAATGAATGTGGGTATTATTGGATTTTAATTTTTCTTTTATCCGTTATGGTCAACTATTCGAAAGAATTTAACAAAATATACGTTTTTTTGTCCGTCTTTCCGTAACGTCGAACTTATTGTCTTAGGTGATGATTGGTTCTCCCGCTACCACCCGCAAACGCAGCGTTTGCGGTTCGTAGCGGTTCTTAGCGTTTTATAACAATCACGACAACCGCTTTCAACCGCTCTATACCACTCTGTACCGCTCTATATCGCTGAAAATCAAAAGCTCCTTTCCGCAAGCGTTTGCGGTTGCGGGCGGTTGCGGTTTGAAAAAAAAAAAAAAAAAACATAATATCTCCAAATTTGGAATAAGGGTATATTTTTTTGAAAAATACCATAATTATGTTTAAAAATTTCGAAAATACCCTAAATTTTTTCTGTTTTGAAAAATACACTTTTAAAATGTAAAAAGTATGTTTTGACGTGATTTAAACAAAAAATAATAAATAATTACAAATTATAAACGAAAATTAAAAAAATAATAAACTAATAAGTTTTTTTTCAAATAAATATAGTATATGTTAAACTGAAACAAATTTTAATATTTTGGATCTTTATATAAACAACTTAACCTCATACACATTCAAACCAAATGAAACTTTAAATAAATTAAAACTTTACATATATTTAAAGTTTATAAATTATTAAAAATTTAAAAGTGGAGAAATATATCTTTCATTTTTAATGTTTATCTTTTGAAAAATTTAAATATTTTTGAAACTTTGCATAAACAACTTTAATCTCACCCCATTTAAACTTTATATAAACAATCTTATATTTTTATTAAATTGTTTAAAAAAAAACTAAACAGGTAATTAGGATGTTAAAATGATACAAAATTATTATCAAATATTAATATTTTATATTTCTTATTTGAATTTCGTTTTTATTAAATTAGGAATAATCATTTTACATATAAAAAGTGTATTTTTCAAAACCAAAAAAATAAGGGTAGTTTTCAAATTAAAAATTCATCAAAAAATATATTTAAAAAAAAATTATTAATATGGTTATAAATGTTTTGAATAATTATATATTATTTTATTTTAGTAACTTTTGGTTAAACCGCTCTTGCACCCGCTGGCTAACCAGTCAAAAATATCCCGCAAACGCAACCGCTATGAATTGCTATACCAGTCGTACAAACAGCTTTTAATCGCAAACTCCCGCTTCCGCAAACTCCCGCAACCGCAAACTCCCGCAACCGCAACCGCAGCGGTTAAACCAGTCAGACCCTTATTAGGCCCATATGATTAACATTTGTATTTTGTTTCATGTCGGTTTATTAACCCCTTTTGTTTGTGTTTAGAGGAGGTAGTGGAAGAGTTATATATTAGGGTTAATAAACCGAAAATTTAATACACGGCTTCATTACGCAGTCACGTTGCAGTTGCACTATTAAATAACAACTTGCAATTAAACAGACTTAACGTAATATAAATGGGCTTTCTTGACATAATTATCTTTCAGGCCCAATTAAACTATTTGCCAATGTCGGAATTTCGTAAATTTTGACACTTTCTGACTTTGGGGTTTTTGGTCAGAATCGATCGAGTGAGTAGGCCGGCATGATACTCATGTCGGTTACGGGTCGGGTCTTACGAATGAGAGTGAAATTCTCGTTCTGAGATTTTACTCCCAAATCCTGGGCAAGGTTTTTGAGATTTCACTTCACAAAGATCAGAACTTTAGAACTAGACAACGCTTCCAAAAATTGGAGTTTAATATAACTTTTCAAAAGTTTATGCTTTCTTTAGGGATTATTTGAAAGTTAGAGGATTTTTATGGCATTTTTCTCAATATAGATTGTTTATTCTGGTCATGGAAATGCTCATATGCACTTAATTTTACAAACAATTTCATCATCTTTGTTTGAGTTCTTTCTTTCATGTATTAGTTGTCTAATACATTTATTCCATTCGTTAGCTACAGTAAAATTTCCACACTAATCAGAGTTTATGTCGGTTCCATAACAGACAAAACACAAAACAAAAAAAGAATTGTGAAAACAAAAACAAAATAAATAACGGTGGATAAAGAAGGAATATTAGGAAGATCTGGACTCTGTAACGGCTAGTTCCAAAGTACCGTTTGATTATTGTATTAAGCACGCTCTTCTATACACACATTTACTTACACATTCAGAGAGAGAAATAAGAAAGAAAGCAAAACCCACACAACTTTTTTTCCTGTTCTCATCATTTCTCTCTCATATCGCTTTTCTCTGATTAAGGGTTTTCCACAAAAACGAGGAACAAAGGGTTTTCTTTTTGCTCGATTTGAGAATTGAGAAGATAATCGCCATGAACATTTTCAAGAAGAAGACTACTCCCAAAGGTATAAAGTCTAAAACTTTCCAGCATTCACATTCGTCTCCTTCTAAATCGGGAAGAATGGTGTTAGCTTCTCTTGAGGAACAAACTTAATCTGGAAAAAAAATGGCGACTTTGACTGTTCTTCCTGCTAAAAATTGAATCTTTAAGAGTGTGGGTAGGTCATAGGTGTGAGTTTTTTGCTGGGTTCTTATTTCCGGAAAAGGGTATTGTGATTCCTTAAAATTAGGTTTGTAATTGTTGCGGAAGCTCGAGATAGGAAACTAGCAAAATCGTCCTGATTTAGTAATTTCAGTGCTTTCTGGCTGTGAATTTGTGGAAATCCTGATTTTGATTCGATCGAAAAAGTTGTGAGAAATTGCTAATTCCTGCAGATGCTCTTCGCACCAGTAAGAGAGAGATGGCTGTGGCTACACGAGGTATGTGTTGGTTCCTGTCTCTTATGAGAATTCTTGTTTCTCCACTTTAAGCTAGATTTGTATTTTAATTGCCAAGAAATTCCAAATTTGCAGTTGAAATCTGAGAGTTGTGATCAGTTAGAACTTCATATATGCGCTTGCTTGCTTGAACTAGAGGATAAGTTCTGATTGATAAGTGCCATTGATGCTGTTGAGGCTTTGTTACTAAATTTTACAAGCTCTTTCTTAACGTCACTCTCTATGTTCTGCAATTCTCAATAACCACGAAAGCATAAAAAAGCTAAGCTTTTCAATGTAATTGCAGGTATCGAACGTGAGATTACATCTCTTCAACTAGAGGTAGATTAGCACATACTGCGAGCTCTCTTTGTTCTTATAAGCTTTCCTAGACTCTTATACTGACATTAAGTCACAAATCCAGGAGAAGAGACTAGTTGCAGAGATCAAGAAAACAGCTAAAACTGGAAATGAGGCAAGTCTTCACATCCTCCAATCTCATCTTGAGCTAATTTCTAGCTACTAGTAGTTGGCTATCTGTTCAAACTCCTTCTGAATCTGTCTCTTTACTCTCAAATCTTGCATTAACCAGGCAGCCACCAAGATCTTAGCTCGTCAACTTGTTCGACTGAGGCAACAGATTACCAATTTACAAGGAAGCCGTGCTCAAATTAGAGGTGTAACGACTCATACACAGGTTTGCTTCTTGCCTAACTCTACTGTAACTAAACCAGATCGTTCGGTTATAATGACTTATCAGCTTTTTCTCTTCATTTCTCTTTGGAATAGGCTCTGTATGCAAGCACCTCAATTTCATCAGGCATGAAAGGTGCAACCAAAGCTATGGTTGCAATGAACAAGGTAATATAATGTTACTTTGTTTTTTACTTCTCAATACTCAAATTTTCATTGATGTTTTACCATTTCTTGCGCATTTTATTTTCAGCAAATGGAACCAACGAAACAAGCCAAAGTGATCAAAGATTTCCAGAAGCAATCTGCACAGCTGGACATGACGGTATAATGATACACATCCTCTGTAATCTCAATCTCAAGATAGCCTTAAACTGGAATCTGATATAGCAAAAATGTATTTTGATTCGTTTGTGTGTTGTGATTTGCAGATAGAGATGATGTCAGAGGCAATTGATGAAACACTTGACAAAGATGAGGCTGAAGAAGAAACAGAAGACCTCACTAACCAAGTTCTTGATGAGATTGGTGTTGGTGTTGCATCTCAGGTCAGGTTTCTTAAGACCTTTTTGTTTCTCCTTTTTTCAGTTTTCTTGGTTTTTGTCAAAAGCTAAAATCTTTCTTCGTCTCCCTTTCATTTGTTTTGAGAACAGTTGTCTTCAGCTCCAAAAGGTCGGATCGCTACGAAAACAGCAGTTCCTCATGCTTCCACTGCAACTACTACTAACAACAACAGGTGTGAGCTTATGTTTGGTCATTAAAATTTGTTTGTTGAAGAAAGTAAGAATAAACTTATCTGTAAATTTGAACTTGCAGCTCTGAAACAAGTGAAGTGGATGAGCTTGAGAAGAGATTGGCTTCGCTACGACGAATCTGAGGGCCAGGGAAATGCATGATGATGATATATGAAGAAAGACAGAAAAAAGCAGCTTCCTCTTCTTTTTTTGTTTTTTTGCTTGTGATGATCTCTGTATAAATCTGCTGAAGGTTAAAACTGATTTGATAAGATTTTTGGTTATCAGAAAACCAAACAATTTTAAAACGAGGATACCTGTAATATACATATTATTAGTACTATAGTGGTCCCTCTTACGTGCAGCAAAATTTCTTGAATTGCAAGTAAATTTTATAAGCCTGTTTTCAAAAATAAAGTTTACTAGTTTTTGTAAAATTGTTCGGAGCTTTTTTTAGCTTAGCTAGACACATCAACATTAAATTTCTTTCAACGTTACAAACCAACATTTTCTCTATATTAAGCTTCTGCCTTCTCAGATAATGTGAAAGATATTTTGGATTTTGATAGCCGTGTTGAAATTTTCGTCGTGGAATTTTCATCGAAATTCTAAAGCGATTAGACGTTGTCAAATTATAAAATGATGTAAGCCTTCGTGGGTTTTACTCCGAAAGAACCGAAACTAACTGAGAATGCAACAAGTCTTCTGTTTTAAGTCTTTTAGTGGCCCCCAAAAACATGTTATAGTACTAGTCTTCGTTTTTTTGGATCCTTTCGTGGGACTCTGAGGGACATAAATAAGAGTATTGGATCAAAAGGTTTAGAAAATTAAGGAAAAACAAAGCAAATTAAGAAAGAAAGATGGCAAAAAAGAGTTCTTCAAATTTTGGAATTTTGTTTTTGTTTCTAGTGGTTCTCTTGGTCCCCTGCTCTATCAACAAATGTCTTGCTTCTCCACAAGAGTTACTCCAGTTCAACGGTTAGTGCTTCCTTGAAATGCTAATAGTTTTCATATTTTGAGATTGCAAAGACAAGATGTGGAAGTTTTTGGTCCTCGAGATTATTTATGCTTAATATTTTTAGTTGTCCATACTCCATATTTTTATATATTATATTTTTTCCCACTACTTTATATATTGAATTCTTTTTTATGAAAGAGCGGAAGTGTAGTTTGATCTTGAAATATCTAGAAAAACTTGTTTGGCATGGTGAATCCAAAACTTCGCTCGATTTAAGTGTTTTTTTTTTTTTTTTTTTTTTTTTAATGTTAAGATCGGTCGATTTAAGTTGGATGTGTCGTATGTTTGAATATGAAAAGAAACAACTAAATGGATTTTTGTTTCTTCAGTTCCGGATTTTTGAGTAGTGGTTCCGTAGCACTTAACTGGAGATCTCTTTATCTTTTAAAAGTTGTTATGTTAACATTAACATACATTTTTTTTAGAAAATTATTGTTAACTTTTTTTAATGTATACTTCAAACAGAATGGAGAAGAAAAATGATTACGGTATGTGCATCAGAAAATCATCGTGCTGGTATCAATATTTCACCAGCTTCGTCTCCCTTGTCATCGCCTTCGTTATTGTCGTCGCAGCGAAGATCTAGGCGGCCATCAATATTGTCACAAGCACCCTCGCCATGCTTTGAAAACAGCATTTCTTGAAAGCGAATGAAATATTTAGTAATGAAATGTTTTGCTCACAAATATTTACAAGATGAAGGCGATGAGCAAAACATTTCGTATTAAAAAAGAAGATATATCATTTCTCTCATACAATATTATTTTACCAAGAAAAAGAAATATACTAAATGTTTAAGCCCTTTATCAAAAAGTATATATATATATATATACAAGAATAAGATGGAGATGTTGTGATATTTGCAATCATTGATAAGCTATTATATTTATAAGTACGTACATTTTAATTACTTTAAACTAGGATAACACCTATGCTTTTAACAAAAAAAAGGATAATACCCATGCATTAGCAGGAAATGGCAAACTTCTGCTGTATTTTATATTACTAAACCTTGAACACAGCAAAAAAATTGTAGGCTCTGAATAGATGGTGTTGTCAGAGTAAATAGATGAGTGGAAATATATTTTTACTGTGTTCAAGGTTAACCAGTCAAGTGGAAAATGGAGAAATGATGCTAGAACTAGCGTTATTTTATTCCTCCACTTTCTTTTGGAGAAAAACCTTTTTTTACTTTTCAACTCTTTTACTAACTATATTTTTTTTCCCACCCCATTACTAACCTACGTTGCATTGAAACGGAAACGGAAACGTAGAAACGAAACGTTTCCGAAACGGAAAACGTAGATTTTTGAAAATTATAAATTTGGAAACGTTTTGGAAACGTATATATATAAATAATATATATAAAAAATATATTAAATATTCAATAGTTTAACTAAAGATAAATATTATAATGTCTAATGTCAAAATATTAAAAATATTTTATGTTATTATTATTATGCATTTTATAAATCAAAACTATCCAGGAAGATTTGAAATAATCAAATGCAATATATAATGATAATACTAATTCTCATCTAATGACTAATAAATCAAATTAATTAATTATTTATCTAAAATAATTAAAACAATTCATTAATATTTAATTATTTAATTATTGCATTTTCAAAAACAAGCAGTAAATATTTTTCAATTTGGGAAACGCAAGTTTCCAAAATGGAAACGCGAGTTTTCAACAAGTTTCCAAATCGCAAATTTTAGGAAACGTGGAAAAACGAGTTTCCGACAAGTTTCCAAGAGTTTCCATTTTGGAAACGTTTCCAAAACAGGAAACACGACTCGGACGGAGTTTCCATGCAACGTAGTTACTAACACTCTTTTACTTTAATTTACTCCAAGACATACCACCCATTCACACAGTTGCAAAAAAGAAAAGCAAGAAATTGTTTTCTTTTTCCAACTTTCAAAAAATAAACTTTAAATAAAAGAAATACAATTAAGGTCAGCAAAAGGCAGAAGTAATGAGTGGCAGAACCATCATTTTTCTTGAGAGAGAGAGAGAGAGATGGAAAGGAATGGTTCTTCAAAATTAGGTCAGGTGCTCATGCTTCTTCTTTTTCTTACCATCCTCTTTCACCATACCGGATCTGCGTTGCCTTATGATCATGAACAACTCTCAGTGACTGGTTAGTGTTTCATGGTACACACATGATCTATATTTATGCATATACGCATACACGTAAGTATATATGCGTATGTTTTTTTTTTATGGGCATACATATGCATATGTTATGTAAATCAGTTTCTCTATGTCCTAATTGTTTGATATATTTACTCGATATAAAAAATTGTATGCAAGAGGTCTAGCTTAAGTAATTCAAAAAATTCTTTAACAAAAAAAAAAAAAAAAAAAAAAACAGAAATCCCAGCTGCCACGCTTGTTTCTCACAATAAAATGGGTGTTCTTTCTTTGGTTAATTTGACAAGATCATAAACTTACATCAATCTTGGTTTTTATATACAAATCCCAGCTAAGAATTTTTTTTTTGTCAAAGAAAAAAAATGAAATTTCCCAAACCACTCAAGTAATGGGACACTTATCAACATTCTGGCTAATCGAATTTAATTTTTTCTTTTGATAAAGGGTTTAATCGTATTTAATTTATTAGATTACACCCAAATTTTAATTTCCACTTAATTAATTTCCTTACTAATCATAAAAGAAAACATTTGTTTAATATAGATTGAAATTGCTCAAGCCATATAAAAAAGTCATATCGTATTTCCTTACTCAACATTTTGCCTATAAAACATACGGTCTATATAGTATGTGACCGTATAGTATTTGCCAAAATATACATATTCATCTACACATATTTGTTTTTTGGGGTAAAATCTACACATATTTGTATACGATACAATGAATAATGAGTAAATATCTTTAAAATAAATTAAAAAATGAAGGGAGGAGAATAATGGCGTATTATAAGCGCAATGGTGCCATAGGAACACCATCATCACGAAGTCGACGAGGCGGTGGTGGTCACGGACCTCACGGTACAGTGCTCATGTTATCTTTATGTTTTAAGTTTAACACCCTATTTATCTCCTTTTTTTATCTAATATATATTAATGTATAAATATTATTTGTAAGGAAGGAGATTGATGAGTATATATAAGCCACACAGAGACATATTCACAGGACCATCAAGCAGTGGACATGGTGGTGGTCACATTCATCAATATTCCTCTCTTTAGTTTTTGGACAGCATACAAACTTGAATAATACTTCACCCAATATATAGGCCATATGTATTATATGTAATTCCATGTAAGGATTTTAAAATCTTAATATATATATATGGAGTCTAAGTCTTGGGCTCTTGATCTGCATGTCGGTGCGAACATATGGAGTCTAAATCTACAGCCAAGTATTTTTTTAATCTTGTTCTTTGTTGACTCAATTAATGAACCGCTTGAAGTCATATTTTCCTACAAGTCCTTTTTAATATTCGGATTTTCAACTTAAACTATTCCCATAGACACAATTTATATAGATGATTAAATAGTTTTTTGGAGTGAAAGCTAGATAAAGAGTTATATGATTATGTATATTTCACTCGCATGGTATTATTTTTGTTGATTGCGGTGCAGTTTTAATTTCATATTCTTGATTTAAATTAGTCAATTTTAACTTTCTTCCATTTAGTACCAATTAACGGTCTGAATCTATATATGTGACTGTCTTGTGATATCAAGCGAATTCCAAACTATGACTCTTGCTGTCTAGACTTTGTAATATCAAGGGAATTCCAAACTATATGACTTGCAAATTCATTACTTTTTAGATTAAGCTTCATTAATATACTAAAAAAAACCGTATATAAATAAGAGATGGCAAAAAAAGTGTAGACTTTAGCATACTGTGATCAAACTCAAAGAGAGAACGAGAGATGGCAAGAAAAGGTCCTTCGAATTGGAGACTTGTGCTCTTGCATCTCCACAAAAGTTACTCCCATCATCAAGTTAGTTTTGAAACATGTATCATAAATGGTTTTCATTAATCGATTATTATAGTTAACGAAAAATACAAAAAAATAAAAAACTTAAGAAGTACTGTATATTGTGCTAATCTTAGTAAACAAGACAAATTTTTTTAAACTATGATCCTTTAAAATATTGAATCAAATAGGATGGAGAAGAAAGATGGCACGAGTAAAGTCGTCAAAGAGTGATCGAGCCATCGAGGTAAAGGAGGAGGTGGACCTGGTGCTGGTGGCTATCATTTACCATTGCCTCCACCACCACTACCAAGTACCACCAGTATCACCACCGCCGTCACCATTTCCCATGTGTCCGCCATCATCAGAGTAACTACCACTGCTAGGATTTGAAGAGATACAAACATCTATGGAGCATCATCAAAATTTCATAGAGAAAACAACTTGCTCTGTTTCTTATTTCTTCTTTCTCAAAATTGATGTCTTTTATATTGACTTTTGCATTTTCCAGATTTTGTAAATATTTTTTCTGTTGTTGATGAATAAATTTCACACTTCAATATAAATACAATTTTTTTAGTATTAATAAAAACTGATTCTGATGCACCAAAGAATTAAAGCCTAATCAACTAAAATACCCAAACCAAAACAAAATCTCGTTTGCACTGCTTTCAAATTCTAAAATTTTCATACACCACCTTCCTAATCAATTATCAATATATATATACTCACCGTCTCATCTTTTTCACCGCATCTACGTTACTATAAATATGTAACGTAAAACTAAAGGAAATGAGAAGATGAGATAACACTCCTTCTCTTATATTCCATATCTCAAACATATAGGAGATGGAGATTTTACTCTCTCCCCCCCTAATTTCACGTTTATTTCCCTCACATGTCTCTTATCTCATTGCACTCTCTTACTAATTAATATATATATATATATCTTATATAGTGGTATATAAGATATGTTTTATTTTTATCTTGGTCTTGGTTGACTCTCAACTGATGAACGGCCAAAAAGTCAAATTTTCCTCCGTGTCCTTTTTTGTAATCATATGGGATTTTTAACTTAAACTAAGAGACACTACAACTAATTAAGAGTTTTTTTTAATACTTTTTTTTGGTAAAGCAACATTAACATATAACCGAAAAACAATATAAAAAGAAGTGATGGCCAAAAAAAGTCTTTAGACTTACCATATTCTGATCACACTCAAAGAGAGAACGAGAGATGGCGAAAAAAGATCATTCGAATTTGAGACTTGTGTTCTTGCTTCTAGTGATTCTTATGATCTCATGCACTAACGGCTGTGCTCTTGCATCTCCACAAAAGTTACGTCCATCATCAGGTTAGTTTTGAAGCATATATCATTAATGGTTTTCATGAATCGAGTAGCAAAGTTAACGAAAACAAAAAGTCAAATTATGATTCTTTAAAATAATAAATCAAAATAGGATGGAGAAGAAAGATGGTACGTGTAAATCCATCTTTAAGTGGTCGAGGTGGAACAGGTGGAGGAAAAAGGGGACCTCGTATCGAACCTTTACCATTGTTTCAACCTCCGCCACCACTAGTATCACCACCGCCGTCACCATCTTCGAAGTTACCGGCATCATCATCAAAGCAACTACCACTGCCATGATTCGAATAGATACAAGAATCTATGGAGCATCAACCCATTAAAAATCCATGAATAAATCTTTCTTGGTCAGCTTAAATTAGCAAATGATATTCGTTATCTGCGTTATTATCATTTCATTAATAAAACCGTTCTCTGTTTCTTATCGTGATGTTTGCATATTGTAGATTTTGTGGATACTTGTTTCTTTTGTTGATGAACAAATTTTCACATTTAAAAAGAAAAAAAATCATGTTTGCATTAGTATTGACTTAACTTTTACTATGTATTGTAACAATCGGAAGCGGCAGCGTGAGACAAATTGATGTTGTGACCAAGGATGTATGGGACAGTAGATGCCTTTCGTGCAGCAACCTAGAGCAAGAGAGAGAGGGAATAACAAGAGAACCCTTTTTTTGAACGTTAGTGAATAGCATCGTATGAATTTTTATAAGAAATTAGTGATTCAAACTTCTTAAAAAAACAATCAAGTTAATTTACAGTATCAAAAACACTAAAAAATGTGTATGCATAATTTCTTTAGCATGTGACAGTCTTAAGAATAATGTGTTTCCTTTAGTTTTAGATATTGGATTACGAGCATGGACGTGACTGATTGAATCCTTTTTCAAAATGACATATACATTTTCTTTAAGCATTACTTTCGTCAAAAAAGGTACAACACAAGTGAAAAAAAAAATCCATTTAGTAGAAATGTATTGTATTCGTTTTAATTTTGTTTGTCTCCTCTTAGGAGGAGGTGAGATAATTTTACAAAAGGATCTAACATTTTTCAGCATTTTCATTGTGATTTAGAAAAAAGCTTGTATTCTTTTTGAACAACTTTTTTCATTAATGAAAAATAAACGTTTACACGGTGTTATCAAGTAAAGAGAAAATAGACGGTGTTAAACGACACGAAGCGAGATCGCATGCAGCCGACTTCGCCAGTGAATCCGCCTTCGAATTCTCCGTTCTCGGGATGAATCGGAAAGAAATCAAATTGAAGTAAATAACTGTGCAAGAGCTTGAATATCGAGACCATAGATTTCCTTGATTTTCTCTTGCGATGTTAAGGCTCGGATCAAATTCTAAACGTCCGATTTAATTTGCATATGAAGGAAAAAAGCTTGTATTTATCCTAATTTTATTCCTTTAAAGTTTTTAAAGTTGTATCTAAATTGACTGGCCGAAAAAAGTCATATTTGACTTTATTATTTGTGCTTCTTTTGTCCGTTTAGTAGAAGTCAAACCATCTTAAGAAAAGAAGAGTTGTTACTATGAAACATCATCATACAACCCACTATACCCACTAACATTTAAAGGATCCTATATCACACCAATATCAGCTTATTCAACCTTATTCTCAGAAAGTTGCCCTTTGCCTTATCTTGAAGGTTATACAATAGTAGCATTTGAGAAAGGGGAAAATCATTTCAAATCACAACAAACAACAGCAAGAAAGTGAAGACAAATTCGAGAGCGAGAGAGGAAAGAGGGGAAGAAAAAAACAAACAATTAGCAAGTTAACAAAGAGAGAATTGAAATGGTAAAGAATGGTCTGTCAAATTTGGGAGTTGTTTTCTTGTTTCTAGTGGTTGTTTTGGTTCCATGCTCTATTGACTATGTTCTGCCTTCTCCCAAAGAGTTAATCCCAACGAACGGTTAGTGCTTGCTAATATGCTATTCATTAATTTTATTGTTCCAGTATATTTCTAACTCCTAAATTTATTACTATAAACTAAGTAGGTTGGAGAAGAAAGTTGATACCAGTACGGTCATCAGTCAGTCGACGAGCTGCTATAAAAGGTGCTCCTCCATCGCCACCACCGTCGGCGATTTCTATGAAACGTATTAAATATTTTTAACTCACAAAATATGATGTTGTAATATATATTCTTCTCTTTATTTTTCGGTTGATGAAATTGTGGTTTCACGATTCCTGTTAGAAGTTGCAACTATCTTAGCTTTCCAGATTTTTAAATGGTTGATGGCAATTGTCGTTTCAGAATTAAGAATTAATCGAATGTGACAACCTTGCAATGATGTTTATTACTAAATCAACCAATGTGTCTGTTCAAGAAATACCAAACATTGCTGGTCCAGTTTCAGCAGCCAAATCCAACAATTTGCCCTGTTTTAACCAGTCATCAAACCAGCAAAAGTACGTTCATCCCATTTCTTATCTCAAATCGAATGAAAGGATAAGCAGCCTCACGAAGCTGGAGAAGCTTCCTCCACATCCAAGAATCATTGGTACCTTATCTAGCATCCCAAAAAAGACCCTACTCAAGGAGACAATGTGAAGTAAAGACCATAAAACCCAAAAAATATTTATGATAGGTAGAAATTACTTCACCTAACAAGTCCGCTATTCCCGTTGATATTTAATTTGGATGTTGATCAATCATAAATATTTTTTTCAACTGCATAGTATATATATATTCAAAGCCATAGAACTTTGGTCGTTGGCACTAAGCTACATAGTTCAATGATCTAGATAGACTTCCAAATTCAAAGTCAACTTAATATAATATTCTAATCCATTCATTTTTTGTGTAACTAAAGTCCGAAAATTCAGGGTATCTTTGCAAATAGGGTAGTTTTATGTTTTTTATTAGTGTTTTGGATGGCAAGAAATTCTAATTTGTAAATTGGGTAGGTAACTATTTCATGTCATTTTTTGGACGATTTTATCCATATCTCTTAGAGAGATGAAGAGAGCAAAAATGTGTGTGACTGTAATGAGAGATAGGGTGACAAATTTTATAGAGAAATAGAGAGAGAAGAGAGAGAATGTGAGTTGGATAAAACAATAAAAAGAGAATTTTATAAATATATATATATATAAACAAATATGATTCATTGTAAAATATTTAACAAGATTTAGTGACAATCTGACAAGATCTCTCTTTTTAATTATAAGGAGGTTGCGTTGGGCGACTCAAGGTATGCATCGGTCGATGCAACAATTGCAAAATTGATCCGGTTTAGCTGGTTTAAGGGTTACAATGTCTAACGCAAGTGTGAATTGTCTGTTTTGCCATTTTCTTTATTGTGTTGAAGTGTGGTTTGCTGCTAGTGTCTCACGTAATTAGCATGTAGTTGGGATGATCCACTTACTAAGTATTTATGATAATAATTATGCAAGTTTTTCGTAATGTGTTGCATGTAAAAAGTTTATGTGATCACGGAATCAAAGCCGAAGAAGAGAATGATAGAATTTATGTTTTTATTTGCTTCTATTTAAGTTGCTAGAACCTGATATTTAGGTTGTTAATATTCTTTATTATTTATCGAGTTAATTGTTGAACTAATTTGATTATTTATTTATTGAATTTATTTTGAAGACTTCTACTAAATATTGGTTAGTTTATTTATTATTATTTTTTAAAAAATCTTGGTTGTTTCAAATCCTATCTACCGGAGTATTTTCTTCTGTATTTTACTCACTATACTTTTCCTTGTAAAGCGTAATGAATATATTAACCAAATTCACCAAAAGACTCTACCATCCATATCATTATCGCAAATGAGCTATGTAAATAGATTGTAAATTCATATGGATGAGAAATGAGTTTTTAAACCTCTGTGAGCTCGCTTAAGTAGATGGGAAAGTATTTATTTACAACCAGTTTGATATCGAAATACTTCCAGAAATGTGAACAAAGAGTCAAATTTGGTATCATCGGTAAAGATCAGAACATATAAGAGAGTCAACTATAAAATCATTATTATCATTTTTTGTTTTGTGTTCTTATCTTTTCGATTTTGTTTTCTGGTAGTTTTCTTTCACTTTCTATTTCGTATATATAGTATCTCGACGAATCAAATGAAAGAGAGCAAACAAAGCATATAAGAGCGAGATGGAAACGAAGCATTCTTCACGATTAAACCTTGTGCTCGTTTTGGTGTTGCTCATTTGCATACTCCCTTGTCTTAGCCAAACGGCTCCGTTCTCAGCTACCGGTTAGTACTGTTTCCATTATTCAAAGTATTACAGATATACGTAAATATATACACACATACTTGACCTTTTTTCTGTCTCCCATAATATTGTATAAATCTATAATAACTTAAAGCAGCTGGGGGCCTCTTAAGGTGTCCACATCAGCGTTTATGTGAGTGTTTACGTTTTGCCACGTGGCACTCCTAAATTTTCTTCAAACAACTTTTTTCCCAGAAAATCACGTCTTCTCGCCTCCTTCTCTTCTTCGTCGATCGCTTTGACGAACTCGATTCCGCCCAGCCGTTACAGGCTACCAAATACGGTGGGTTTAGCTCCATCTTTAATGTTCCTCGCTATTTAATTCCCTTCTTCTACTATAAATTCCGAGCTTCCCCGTTCGATTTACGGATTACCACAAAAACCCTTTCTTCCCTGCCCAGATTAGTAACCTCCGCTCCGACGCTCGCCATGGTTCACGGGTAGCCGTATCAGCATCTTCCCTCCTCCATCAGTTTCTAGGATTTAGTATTTCTTCGTCTAATGGTGTTCGGCTTCATTTCTCTGTTTATGACAAGTATCTGTATGCACTTGATCGGAAAATGGAAAACGCGTGGACATATTCACGCTTCTCCTTGATCAGAAGGTACATCCCAAACTCTTTCGCTCCACCATTCTCTGCAGGAATGTGTCCACTTATTATTTGTCGATTCAGTTATCTGTTTTGTTCATTGCCGATTCCTTACTTTCGTCTTCATCTTCCATTCTAGAGTATAATGGCTTCATCGATCTCATTCGGAACTGAAACCCTCCTTTTGTCTTCTAACATTAGTTTTGAAAGTGTTGAAAGAGTTCTATTATAATATGGCTATTTACCACTAACAAATAATTCTGCCCATGTATTTCCCTTTTCTATACAGATCGTTGTCAAGTTGAAAAAAAAAAAGAACAAGGTATGTCCTTCTGCTCTCTTCATCAGTTACAAGAACACTTTAATTTATTATAATTTATTATATTTTACACTAGTTCAAGTACCTTATTGGTAGAATTAGTCAGAAAGGTCTTCAAATTCACTCAATGATCACTTGTGGTGCTACTTACTATACGAAAACTTTGTAACTTTTTGTACGACGGCTTGCTTTTCCAATTGTAGGGGAATGCGTTTCTTATTCTTATCTTCTACTCACTAATCTAAGTTTTTGGGACATCTGCATTTAGAGTGTTTTAGTAAATCACAGCCTAAAGGACTTTATGAAGCTAATGAGGTAAATACAGTCATGGTTGAGGTAAAATATAGTCATGGTTAAGTTTTAATCTAATGTGATGTTTATAGTTAACAACGCCAGCAAAGTGCTTCATGTTCGATTTAGAGTTTACAGAAATAGCTCGAGATGATGATGAGCTTTCGATTTTTCGTAAATTGGGTTAGTTTCAAAGTTTAATTTGCTTAAATTTCTTGCATCATCGTTTTGCTGGCTGATACTTTTCCTTCTTTCTTTTCTTAATTCTTAGAAAGGTTTTCATTACTCTCCAGATGTTGTTACGGGAAGGAGTTAAATCTTGGTACTTGGGAACAGCTGTTAAGAGAAAGGGATCTCCTCATCATCAAGTTGCAGCACAGGACCGAGAAAGTAAATCTCCTACCGCTCTAATTAAACAAGTTGCTGACAAGTTTAGTGTTCTATTGTGTATGTCTTAAGACAGGAAGATTCATCTAGAGTTTAAAGCAGCTTCAGCACCTGAAGTAGGTCATAAACATCAAATCGTTTCACTCAATGTTTGCTGTCAAAACCAAAATTTATATGAATTTATTTAACTTGCTTGTCCGTAAAAGCTGCTGCAAGGCAAATGGTGACGACAAGGACAACACTGAACACTGTAGTGCAGGAGAAGTGGAATCTGAGCTTGAAGACGAGAGGGTCGTAAAAAGGAAAGTCAACATTGACTTGGTTGCAACACCCTGCAAGAGAGAGAGACTTTCAAGGGGAAGCAAGGAGGGATTGAAAGATCCACCAAATCAAGAACAGAGAAACCTGATATCACTGCAGCAAATGGAGTGGTAGACAAAGACTTGGGTCGTATCGTGAAGACGATTAGATGTTTAGAGGAAGGTGGTCATATAGACAAGAGTTTTAGGGAAAGGTTTTTGACATGGTATAGCTTGAGAGCTACTCACCGACAAGTTAGAGTTGTGCAGCTCTTTGTTGAGAAGTTTGACCTAGGTATGTATGTTGTTTCATGTTCTTATCCTTTAACTATAAATGCTAAATTATAAGTATTTCTAATTCCTTCAAATGAACATAATGGTAGGAAAACTAACATAATTTTAGAAAACATTACTATTGTATATTTGGTTTTCTACTTTGACAAAAAAAAAAAAGATATTTGATTGAGACCGTTTCACTCATGTTTGTCCTCATAGTCATGTGTAGAACCTATTAATCCATGTTTGGGTAAGTATGGGTCCATCTAGTTCATTTATACACTACAAGTGAGTTTCCACAATGTGGAGGCACAGAGGTACATTTCGGACTCCTTACCTCTTCCGGTTCCCAAATTTGGTCCATTTGATGTTCCTCCCTTGGATTGAGACCGTTTCACTCATGTTTGTCCTCATAGTAATGTGGAGAACCTATTAATCCATGTTTGGGTAAGTATGGGTCCATCTAGTTCATCTTATACACTACAAGTGAGTTTCCACAATGTGGAGTCACAGAGGTACATTTCGGACTCCTTACCTCTTCCGGTTCCCAAATTTGGTCCATTTGATGTTCCTCCCTTGGATTGAGACCGTTTCACTCATGTTTGTCCTCATAGTCATGTGTAGAACCTATTAATCCATGTTTGGGTAAGTATGGGTCCATCTAGTTCATCTTATACACTACAAGTGAGTTTCCACAATGTGGAGGCACAGAGGTACATTTCGGACTCCTTACCTCTTCCGGTTCCCAAATTTGGTCCATTTGATGTTCCTCCCTTGGATTGAGACCGTTTCACTCATGTTTGTCCTCATAGTCATGTGTAGAACCTATTAATCCATGTTTGGGTAAGTATGGGTCCATCTAGTTCATCTTATACACTACAAGTGAGTTTCCACAATGTGGAGTCACAGAGGTACATTTCGGACTCCTTACCTCTTCCGGTTCCCAAATTAGGTCCATTTGATGTTCCTCCCTTGGATTGAGACCGTTTCACTCATGTTTGTCCTCATAGTCATGTGTAGAAATTAATCCATGTTTGGGTAAGTATGGGTCCATCTAGTTCATCTTATACACTACAAGTGAGTTTCCACAATGTGGAGTCACAGAGGTACATTTCGGACTCCTTACCTCTTCCGGTTCCCAAATTTGGTCCATTTGATGTTCCTCCCTTGGATTGAGACCGTTTCACTCATGTTTGTCCTCATAGTAATGTGTAGAACCTATTAATCCATGTTTGGGTAAGTATGGGTCCATCTAGTTCATCTTATACACTACAAGTGAGTTTCCACAATGTGGAGTCACAGGAGGTACATTTCGGACTCCTTACCTCTTCCGGTTCCCAAATTTGGTCCATTTGATGTTCCTCCCTTGGATTGAGACCGTTTCACTCATGTTTGTCCTCATAGTCATGTATAGAAGCTATTAATCCATGTTTGGGTAAGTATGGGTCCATCTTGTTCATCTTATACACTACAAGTGAGTTTCCTCAATCTGGAGTCACAGAGGTACATTTCGGACTCCTTACCTCTTCCGGTTCCCAAATTTGGTCCATTTGATGTTCCTCCCTTGGATTGAGACCGTTTCACTCATGTTTGTCCTCATAGTCATGTATAGAAGCTATTAATCCATGTTTGGGTAAGTATGGGTCCATCTTGTTCATCTTATACACTACAAGTGAGTTTCCTCAATCTGGAGTCACAGAGGTACATTTCGGACTCCTTACCTCTTCCGGTTCCCAAATTTGGTCCATTTGATGTTCCTCCCTTGGATTGAGACCGTTTCACTCATGTTTGTCCTCATAGTCATGTATAGAAGCTATTAATCCATGTTTGGGTAAGTATGGGTCCATCTTGTTCATCTTATACACTACAAGTGAGTTTCCTCAATCTGGAGTCACAGAGGTACATTTCGGACTCCTTACCTCTTCCGGTTCCCAAATTTGGTCCATTTGATGTTCCTCCCTTGGATTGAGACCGTTTCACTCATGTTTGTCCTCATAGTCATGTATAGAAGCTATTAATCCATGTTTGGGTAAGTATGGGTCCATCTAGTTCATCTTATACACTACAAGTGAGTTTCCTCAATCTGGAGTCACAGAGGTACATTTCGGACTCCTTACCTCTTCCGGTTCCCAAATTTGGTCCATTTGATGTTCCTCCCTTGGATTGAGACCGTTTCACTCATGTTTGTCCTCATAGTCATGTGGATAGAACCTATTAATCCATGTTTGGGTAAGTATGGGTCCATCTAGTTCATCTTATACACTACAAGTGAGTTTCCTCAATCTGGAGTCACAGAGGTACATTTCGGACTCCTTACCTCTTCCGGTTCCCAAATTTGGTCCATTTGATGTTCCTCCCTTGGATTGAGACCGTTTCACTCATGTTTGTCCTCATAGTCATGTATAGAAGCTATTAATCCATGTTTGGGTAAGTATGGGTCCATCTAGTTCATCTTATACACTACAAGTGAGTTTCCTCAATGTGGAGTCACAGAGGTACATTTCGGACTCCTTACCTCTTCCGGTTCCCAAATTTGGTCCATTTGATGTTCCTCCCTTGGATTGAGACCGTTTCACTCATGTTTGTCCTCATAGTCATGTATAGAAGCTATTAATCCATGTTTGGGTAAGTATGGGTCCATCTAGTTCATCTTATACACTACAAGTGAGTTTCCTCAATCTGGAGTCACAGAGGTACATTTCGGACTCCTTACCTCTTCCGGTTCCCAAATTTGGTCCATTTGATGTTCCTCCCTTGGATTGAGACCGTTTCACTCATGTTTGTCCTCATAGTCATGTATAGAACCTATTAATCCATGTTTGGGTAAGTATGGGTCCATCTTGTTCATCTTATACACTACAAGTGAGTTTCCTCAATCTGGAGTCACAGAGGTACATTTCGGACTCCTTACCTCTTCCGGTTCCCAAATTTGGTCCATTTGATGTTCCTCCCTTGGATTGAGACCGTTTCACTCATGTTTGTCCTCATAGTCATGTATAGAAGCTATTAATCCATGTTTGGGTAAGTATGGGTCCATCTTAGTTCATCTTATACACTACAAGTGAGTTTCCTCAATCTGGAGTCACAGAGGTACATTTCGGACTCCTTACCTCTTCCGGTTCCCAAATTTGGTCCATTTGATGTTCCTCCCTTGGATTGAGACCGTTTCACTCATGTTTGTCCTCATAGTCATGTATAGAAGCTATTAATCCATGTTTGGGTAAGTATGGGTCCATCTTGTTCATCTTATACACTACAAGTGAGTTTCCTCAATCTGGAGTCACAGAGGTACATTTCGGACTCCTTACCTCTTCCGGTTCCCAAATTTGGTCCATTTGATGTTCCTCCCTTGGATTGAGACCGTTTCACTCATGTTTGTCCTCATAGTCATGTAGAAGCTATTAATCCATGTTTGGGTAAGTATGGGTCCATCTAGTTCATCTTATACACTACAAGTGAGTTTCCTCAATCTGGAGTCACAGAGGTACATTTCGGACTCCTTACCTCTTCCGGTTCCCAAATTTGGTCCATTTGATGTTCCTCCCTTGGATTGAGACCGTTTCACTCATGTTTGTCCTCATAGTCATGTATAGAAGCTATTAATCCATGTTTGGGTAAGTATGGGTCCATCTAGTTCATCTTATACACTACAAGTGAGTTTCCTCAATCTGGAGTCACAGAGGTACATTTCGGACTCCTTACCTCTTCCGGTTCCCAAATTTGGTCCATTTGATGTTCCTCCCTTGGATTGAGACCGTTTCACTCATGTTTGTCCTCATAGTCATGTATAGAACCTATTAATCCATGTTTGGGTAAGTATGGGTCCATCTAGTTCATCTTATACACTACAAGTGAGTTTCCTCAATCTGGAGTCACAGAGGTACATTTCGGACTCCTTACCTCTTCCGGTTCCCAAATTTGGTCCATTTGATGTTCCTCCCTTGGATTGAGACCGTTTCACTCATGTTTGTCCTCATAGTCATGTATAGAAGCTATTAATCCATGTTTGGGTAAGTATGGGTCCATCTAGTTCATCTTATACACTACAAGTGAGTTTCCTCAATCTGGAGTCACAGAGGTACATTTCGGACTCCTTACCTCTTCCGGTTCCCAAATTTGGTCCATTTGATGTTCCTCCCTTGGATTGAGACCGTTTCACTCATGTTTGTCCTCATAGTCATGTAGAACCTATTAATCCATGTTTGGGTAAGTATGGGTCCATCTTGTTCATCTTATACACTACAAGTGAGTTTCCTCAATCTGGAGTCACAGAGGTACATTTCGGACTCCTTACCTCTTCCGGTTCCCAAATTTGGTCCATTTGATGTTCCTCCCTTGGATTGAGACCGTTTCACTCATGTTTGTCCTCATAGTCATGTATAGAACCTATTAATCCATGTTTGGGTAAGTATGGGTCCATCTAGTTCATCTTATACACTACAAGTGAGTTTCCTCAATCTGGAGTCACAGAGGTACATTTCGGACTCCTTACCTCTTCCGGTTCCCAAATTTGGTCCATTTGATGTTCCTCCCTTGGATTGAGACCGTTTCACTCATGTTTGTCCTCATAGTCATGTATAGAAGCTATTAATCCATGTTTGGGTAAGTATGGGTCCATCTTGTTCATCTTATACACTACAAGTGAGTTTCCTCAATCTGGAGTCACAGAGGTACATTTCGGACTCCTTACCTCTTCCGGTTCCCAAATTTGGTCCATTTGATGTTCCTCCCTTGGATTGAGACCGTTTCACTCATGTTTGTCCTCATAGTCATGTATAGAAGCTATTAATCCATGTTTGGGTAAGTATGGGTCCATCTAGTTCATCTTATACACTACAAGTGAGTTTCCTCAATGGAGTC